ATTCCCATTAGGGCTGAATGATTCATTACTTTTGCGATAGTATTGTGATATGATAAAACGCAAAGGCTGCGATTACACGCAGAACCATGTCTGCATAACGATGGATAATTTTACACGCTTATAAGGCTGTAAGTTAAACAAATCAGTCAATATACTACTGTGATTGAAGTAGTTAAATAAAAATGTCATTCATATCAATTCATGCATCATCTATTTTCATCATGACATATGATGAAATATGGAATATGCCTGGCCTGCAGGAAAGAAGAGTTTATGTTATATCTATCTAATATTGTGTTGGTCATAACATAGAATGATTTATTGCTTGTGTTTGTTGAATAATACAGAAGATAAGGAACTTAAAAATATAATCGCAAATTAAATCACAATCGCAATATTGGTAAAAAAAAAAAAAAAAAAATCGCAATTAGATTATTTTCCCAAATCGTTCAGCCCCATCCTTACTCATAGAAGGCCACTTTAGACTAGTCCAATGTTTTCTTCTCATCTATTCTTGGCTGGTTTTAAATGTATGTTCTGGGTCTTAATCTGTTGGAGGAGCCATAACCTGTGACTGAGACCAAGCTCTCTGACACTGGGCAGCATGTTTCACTCCAGAAAGCTTTGATAATCTTCAGATTTCATTTTGCCCTGCACAGATTCAAGGGACCCTGTGCCCTGGCGTTTTTTTTTTTCTAAATCCTCCTGTTCGCCCTGACGTCAATTTTTCTTTTGCAGCCACGACCAGGGAGGTTGGCTACAGTCCAGTGGACCTTATACCTCTTAATAATATTAGCAACTGTGGTCACATCAAGCTGCTTGGAGATGGTCTTTACCTTGGCAGTTATTTCCTTCCCCATCTCCTCAGATAACTCTATTCTTTCTCTTGTCCATGGTCATTGTGGTGCACACAATGATACCAAACAGCACAATGAGTACTTTTCTCCATTCAAATAGATAATAATTTTACCAATAATTTTGTCCAGGCCATCTTAGAAGTTTGAAGAATAAGCGAGAATTCAGCTCTTTTCACAGCTTCTTTGTTTTGTTCTATGGCAAACCAAAGGCGTGCAGGTATGCATGACAAAAGAGCTTTTAATTTCAGCACTTTACCAGAAGAACGGTGCATTGTTTCAATAAGGTGTAGGGGGTACCAACACTTTGGGCCATTTCTTTGTATGCAACTAAAAGATAACCGCCTGCCAGAGCAGATTTCTGCAGTATGAATAAAACCATCCTCAGACTGGACTTTGCATGGTATATGTGGAATTTGAATTTTATTAATTTCATTATCAGTGGGTATTTTTCCTGTCATGGTCCTGGATGTTCACTATATTTTTATGATACAGCACTTGCAGAGTGGTATGTGTAGTGCACTTTGACTAGAGCCTACACATATGCATAGACTATCTACTCTATATCTGTCATTTTCACTGTATGTGAAGACCTGTTGTCATATCCCATGTTAGTCTGTGTGTGCTGAGTTCAAGCATTAGCCTGTTACATGTCCTGTTGTCCTGTGCCATCAGTATGTTTCAGCTTAACATTCCAGTCTCAGGCCCAGCCTCTTTCCTCCCTGACCCCCCTGGCTACCTTCAGCCTCCTTTCTATCCTCCATTCCTCATTCCTCCCTACACAGCCGTGAATGGTACAGTCCCAGAGAGAAAAAAAGAACGCAAGAACAGTGGAGAAAGACAGAGGCGGGGGGAAGCAGCCATGCATTAAGTTATTTTTTAAATGACGGTGATCAGAGCAGAGGAGCAGACCGAAGGGAGGAGGGACGAATAGATGTGTGCGAGGACCGAGGGAGGCGGGTTCACAGCTCTCCTGACCGCCTCACGCTCCCTTCCCATTGGTTAGGGGCGCCCCTAGCTTCATTAATGGGCGTTTTACTAGAAGACATGGATGACCCTTCTTGCTGCAGCCTTTGAAGCATCCATGACAGCTGTCATCACTACGTACGTCAAAACCTGCCGCGCTGATTTCACCCCTAAAGTGTTTGGAGATATGGCTGTGGGGAGATAGTAAGCATGGAGGATGCTCTAAAGGCCCTGAGAGGAGCTGTCAGAGAAAAAAACAAAATATCTAGAAATCAGTGATTTACAAACAATTTAGTGTCATAGAGCCTGTAAGTGGATACATGTTGCATCAGTGATTCCAGTTTGACAAGACTCATCATGGTCTTTTCTTTGTATATTTAAAGAATAAGATGCTTTTAACACATTTAGAACATCCTCACTAACTGCTGGAGGTCTTGTGGACTTCGAAGCAGTGCAATAGAGAAATTACAGTGCAGATGAGGATTACTCTGCATGTATTTGCTCTGCCAAGCGCATCACATCAGCAGTGGAACATCAGTGAAATATGTGTTACAGATTGGACTGGATACTGGTTGGTTTGCATAAGAGCTGCAGGTTTGGCGGTTTATAAAGAATGTGCAAGGGTAAAAGGAAACAGGTGTGTGAGTGTCTGTGTGTATGTGTCTGTGTGTGTTTTTGTGTGTTCCTATACTTATATCCATTGAGGACATTTTTTCTATGTAGCTTGGTGCTCAGAGTCGAGGTTGGATATGGTGTCAGGTCAGGTATTTGGCGCTGATAGTCAGCATTACTAAGAAATGGAATGAATGCATTTGAGGGTCCTTATGAGCATAGAAGTATAGTCTGTGTGTGTGTGTGTGTGTGTGTGTGTGTGTGTGTGTGTGTGTGTGTGTGTGTGTGTGTGTGTGTGTGTGTGTGTGTGTGTCTGTCTATCTTATCTCTGGGGCTTCATCATCTGACTTTACGCATGTCTCCGACTGACAGCTGCCCTCACTCCGTGGGTGTAGCCAACAATCCATAGATGGCGGAGAAAGATGACAAGAGGTTTCTTGTTGTGAAGAAGAGAAGAACGGAACAGAAAAGGGCATGACTTTTTAGCCTTAGGAGAAAATGTTTTTTTTATAGAAAACCTGACAGGAGATGATTTATAATTCATGATGTATAATACCATTCATTAGAGCCCTACAGGAGGAACAAAACACAAAAGCTCCTTCTACATGGCCTGTTCAAGGCAGCAGTGTAGTACCTATATTCCGCCTCACCAGTCTGAGGGGTCTTCTTAATGACAATATAGCAGGATCTCTGTTAAATAGAGGCTTAACACTATGTTCCCTCAGGGACTGCCAATCCCAACAGTGTCATATTGCAGTAAGCCTATTAAAGTACCTTCCAAATGTTAATACCCTAATGACAGTTGTCATTTCACAATCACGAGAAAGCATGTCTGAATTTTATTCTCAATCACAATCACACGAATCAGCAGAAGTAAATTGTGATCTTAAAGGACACAGTGGCTTTGAAATAAAAAACACACCTTCAGTCAGTGTCACTATGTTTTTCTATCAACTTTATGCTTGAAGCACATTTCAATGATTTTACAGAGCCTGATTTTAAAAGTACTGGACAGGTAAGATATAGTTCATGAGCCATGTTGTGATACTTCTGTGAAATCATGATGGTGATAACTTAAACGCTGACATGTCAAAATAGTTGTTATGTGGATGATGTTGATTTTCCACTCAAGAGCATGGTGTCAGTTTCCCTTACACATTTCCCAGACACAGATGAAATGTATCAGTGATAGTGTTGTGCTGATTTGACTTTGTATTTATTGTCCTCATATATTTTATGTTCAGTAGGTTAAAACAAATGCTGTGTTTAAAGGTAGACTGATGCTGAGCTTGGCAACAGAATAAGCTGAGCACTACTGAATGACTTGGTGCCAGGTAGTTAGGATGTTGAAATGAATTAATGGTAATTAATGTTTGTGCAGGGGCCCAACCTGTGCCCTTTAAGTGAACCACACAATAAATGAGATGTTTTGCGTGATATCTTATATGAGGCTCTGTGCTGTTCCATCTTTTGAAGACAGATCAGAAGCAAGTATGTTAAGATGTCAAAAGGTTGAAATCCCTAGGCATGAAACTGCTGGAAAACAGCATATTTAACCTTGGTGACATATTCTTTCACTCAAAGAAAAATACTGTACATCTTAGATATATGCATGGCCATAAACATTCGTAGCAGGGGTTTATGTTTTTTGTAATTCTTTGTTATTGTTTTATCGCTTTAAAACTTTTATTGTAGAACATCATTGTTAGAATTAGATGAGCCTATTCTGGTCTGCTCTGACATTTTCTTGTATGCAGAGATAGCCGGATGGACTTACTGTCTGTATGCCGAGGAGATCAGTTTTAAAGGACATGGCTGTTGGCTAAATGCTCATAATACGGACATGTTTGCATATGGGTTCATGTGTGTAGTGTGTGTTGATTGCATGCACATTGCCCCCCCCCCCCCTTTTTTTTTAAATGTCAAACATTCAAAGGCATTTTCACCACATGTCTGTTCATTTTTGTGTGTGACCTCGACCCAGTAACCCCTCTACAGAGCCATCTGATTCCACCACACACTATCTCAGCCCTCTGCCAATTTCAGTACCAACCCCCTCCGCCACCCAGTCACCCCCACACACCCATGCCCACACACAGACATTCCCACAACAATTCATCCAAGTCCCAGAGATTTTTTTTGCCTCCCTCAGCCGTCAAAGATGAATGCCTACCCTGACATCCACAGGCATTCACCCTTACCAAATCCCCTGAGAAGTTGGTTTTGATATGTGACAAACAAGATGTAAACAAGCTGCACACACGCACAATGTTGATATTCAATCAAATGTGTACTAGTGAAAACAAGGAGAGCTTGAGACCATGGGCTCTGGCTGTGTCTTTCTCTCCGTGCCTGTCTTTGTTTGATTAATTTCGACTTTTGACTCATGATGTTAGTAAAAAAAAAACACAGACAGCTACATAAATGATTTCTGTTCTCAATATGGAACAACATGAACCAGCATTCAAAGTATGTTGACTCCTGCATCCTCTCCAACATGTGCACTAAATGTTATTTATCTCTCTTTCCACATGCTCCTGTGGACCTTGACCCTCCTAATATCATCAGGAATCAGTCCAAGGTAACGACACACACACACAAACATACACAGACATTTGAGCTAATTCCATGCTTGTGAATCATCTCTGTGTTAAACAAAGACGCCGCTGTATTTCCTTGACTCAGTTTGTGAACTGTGTGCAGCCGTACAGGCAGTGAAACAAAGTAATGATTTGTTAAACAATTTTTGCTGGAAGAATCTTATTTAATTTATTGGTTTTAAATCCTCAAGGAATATTTGTTGCTGGGTGGCTGTGTGTTTATTTTCTGTTTTTTTTTTTTTTTTTGCTAATTTACTGTATTTTGATATTTGCCAAGAAGGCCTTTTGTGTCACCTGAAAATTCCCCCAGTGCTACACAAAACACATGACACTTAAAGTACACTACGCCTACAGTTTAGTATGCTGACTGAGAAAAAGTAAATGTTATCAGTTGAAATGTAATTGAATCCAAATCTTTATTTAACATTAGCGTTGCTGTGATAAAGCAGCCATAGACGTGCTCTCTGTGTGTCTCTTATGCTGTTGTTTCGCCTGTGTTTCCATGTGCTGTCCAGGTCTTCGCCTATGATTACTGTTTCTGGTCTATGGACGAGACGGATAAGGAGAAATTCGCAGGTTAGGTTATTAACCAACATCCAGTAAACATTTTTAACATCTTACGACCGAAATGTGTTAAAATGCCAAACTACTTTAGCATTTCACTCATTCCAAATGTTAAATTGAGAATGTAAACAATTGGAGAGAATGATATGCTCTGTGTGTTTGTGTACGTGTTTGTCTACAGGTCAGGAAGTGGTGTTCCAGTGCCTTGGGGAAAGTCTTCTCTACAACGCCTTCCAAGGCTACAATGCCTGTATCTTTGCCTATGGACAAACAGGTAAACTACTATGATACTATGAATGCACCAAGTTGCCAGTTTATTAGGTACAGAACACTTAGCTAAAACGAATGCAGCCAATGCAATAGTTGTACAATAAATCCTACTTTCAGGAAGGTTATAGTGTAGTTTTTGTTGAAACTATACACTGTTGGAGTTGGTGTCCACTCCATTTATATCAATGACGTAACACTATATAATAAAACATTATAACCTTCATAAGGAAAGTGGCAACTTTGTATGTTATAACTGAGCCAGTTACATGACTACAGGAGCTGGACACAATAAATGAACAATTTCTTTGAACTTTTAATAGCAAAGTGCCCTTAAGCGTTTTGTGCAGTGATTAAGAGGAGTGTCAGTGTGGATGTGTTGTGGCAGGATGCTTGGAAAGCCTCTCCTCCAGCATGAGAAAAATACCATAGCTCAGATGCAGTTTTCAACCAAAAGCAGATCTTGGCATGAAAAGGCATGATAGATGTGCCAATGTTGCTGAAACCCAAACACAACTTACCAATGTTGCTCAAATGATGTAGATATCTGTATAGGTTAAAATACAAGTTTCTGTTTTGTTAGAAAGGCGTAAGACTGATAATGGTGATGTAATATTTCAATAGTAACAAGTTAGAGCTGGTAAATGATAATGAGTGTCTACACAAAAGTCAGGATTAGTGGTACAGAATATGAAGTTGACTCAGTGGGTGTGGCAAACTAACTGTTTCTGTCGTAATCTAATCTACACCTGTTAAATACTAAATTCACAAGAAATCTTCACTTATTAGTGTGCCTATATGTGTGTGTTTGTGTTGTATTCAGGTTCGGGAAAGTCATACACAATGATGGGTTCAGGGGACCAGCCAGGTCTGATTCCCCGCCTGTGCAGTGCTTTGTTTGAACGAACCCAGAAGGAACAGCGGGAGGAGGAGAGCTTTACTGTTGAGGTTTCCTACATGGAGATCTACAACGAGAAGGTCCGGGATCTGCTTGATCCCAAAGGGTATGACCTCAAACTAATCTTCCACTACTTTCACAAGTGGATTTTTCCCACTGTTGGCCATTGTGGCTCTGGTAAATCCTAAAGTTCCAAAACTAGCCACTTAAACTGCTGCATTTGTATTTACTTTCCCTTGTACAAGCCAGATTGATGCTTGTGATGTAGATATTCTTTTAGTGGAGAATCTGTTTGTAATGTTAGTATCCTGTTAAGGCAAATTCAACTTATTGCAGCTGATTCACACTAAAATCCTTTCACCAAAGAGACAGCGCTGAAGTGTTGACACAGTCATGTTAAGTTCATTTCCAAATGCGTACAATATGGACATGGGTTTCATTGCCCAGAATTGGAATGTCGCAAACACTGGGACATTAACCTTAAATATATGTTGTTTATATGTGCTCTGTCTTTGTAAGCCTACTTCTTAGGTAAACAGCCAGTATCTGGAGTGATTTTCAGTTCTCAGCCTCGAGTTAGTTGGTAAAACAGAGAAAGTTGGAGGTTCATTCTGACATCACCAGCTGCTGTGGTCAGTGGATAAAAGGATTATCATTCTGCCCTGCAGTCACTGATGGAGGCCAGTTCATGTCCAGCAGGTCAGCAGTAAATCAGGGGCACAAGCCTGTGTCTGCTGCCCCAGACAACATAACCTTTGACCTTCACTCACCACGTGACCTTTAACCTCAGTAAAACGGGCCAAAGAGGAGAAGACCATCTGACAGCCATATGGGCTTTGCTGTGGAGCAGAGAATGATGAAGTTCTCAGGCTTGTAGTCAGAGAGCCAAGTGCTTACAAAGTTTGTATGAACTGGGGAAAGTTGTAGTGGTCCCCAGAATTAGCGAGTCTATATTTCCATCCCTGCTAATATATCAGATAGATGGTGTTTTAGCAACATTGTTGTTTGTCTGTTTTTAAACCTGTTTTTATTTTCTGTTCAGGGGCAGACAAACTCTGAGGGTGAGGGAGCATAAAGTTTTGGGCCCCTATGTGGATGGCCTGTCTCGACTAGCTGTGGCCAGCTACAAGGTAAGCATATTTATCTTGCACACTGGTTTTAAGTTCTTGCCATGCTTTTATGTCAGTTTTATTGATACGCTCTCATACCCCTAACATCCACTGGACACTGTTGTATCATATTTTGGCTGATCACACATGAATCTATAATCTTACTTTCGTTCCCTCCTGCTTTGATCTTTAAACTTGTAGCAGTGTTATTCACATGATGGCAGCAGTCAATTTAGTAGTCCCACACTGGAAAGAAGTTTGTTCCAAAAGTTTCAGAATTAATGACATTTTGTAGTTTATATCAGGCTTTCTAAGAGATTCAAAGACACTGTTTATAAATTAAAGTTGTCACCAAATATATAAACAAGCCTAGAATATGTCAAACCAAGTGATCCGTATAATGTTCCTCAAAAGCAGTCTGAAAAGGCAATTCTGCATGTAGAATCAAAATGGGAAGAAATGATTTTTATTACCTGTATATAAATTGTGTGATTTCTGTTCTGACAGGACATTGAGTCTCTAATGTCAGAGGGGAATAAGTCTCGGACTGTCGCTGCTACCAACATGAATGAGGAGAGCAGTCGATCGCACGCTGTCTTCAACATCATCCTCACACACACACTCAAGGACTTGCAGTCTGGGGTAAGACATAAGATAACTACACACAAACACAAGCTGGGGTGAGACACTTGACTTAAAAGCACTGGATTTGTTTAAATAGCTCTAAAAATATAATCAGAAATTAATATTTAAGAGGTTGTGGGCTAAGCCTTCTTCCACAACAGGAGGAAGGTCTGGGACATTCACTGTGGGTGGGGCTTGCTACTGTCACAGTTGGTGTTGCATTGATGATGGTACTGCAAAAGGATTGTGTATGCTCTTCTTCTGCAGCCATTGGGAACAGAGCACCATGGTATCTACATGGGAGGTGTTGTTGGTGGGACCTAATATAGATGTGATGCTGCGGCCTATTAAAATACTTTAATTTTAAAAAGACCCAATTCTCATTTATTAACATTTATTCAGCAAACACAGATTGAACTGTAGAAACTCAACAATGGCTACCTCTGCAGTTTAAGATATGTACAGTATGTATTAGAGCCCTACCGATATTGGACTTTTGGGGCCAATACCGATATTAGGGAGTAAAAAAATTCCGATACATATATATATATATATATATATATATAGAAACTTGTGAAAAGGATATGTAATGAAAGCAGGATATTTTACGTTTAACAATAAACTTTATTGTCCAAAATGAAATCAGTGTACTGAAACGTTAAACTTCACTGGGAATTAAATTAAATAAACGATGAAAATAAATAACTATAAATAAAAACATGAGAACAAAAATGTGTGTATATATATATATATATTTAACTAAAAACAAAGGATCAAATATACATAAAATGCAGCCTATATAACTTGACTTGACCCGAGCATTTCCACTGCATTAATGCTTCTTAATAAAAGTATTCATATCAGCGCATATCGGAGAATATATGCGCTGATACAGATATATCTGTGATAGGCCAATATCGGCCGATAAAATCAGCCAACCGATATATCGGTCGGGCTCTAGTATGTATGCAGTTATAATATAGATAGATAATATAGAATTAATCTCAAACATTTGCAAAAATTCTGCAGAAGTCAAGTTCTTTTCTACTTGTCCCACACCGTAACATCTACTCCTACTACACCATAAATTCATCATGTGCATCATCAGATATTAAACCCTATCTCACCCTCGCCTTCTGTTATCCTAGAATCCAACTGTGTGTGTAATTTTGTGCACTTTGACTGGACAAACAGTGACTGGCAAGTTTTTGATCAGCTGCTGCTGCATGCCAGTGGGTGATGTCACCTCAGCTGTCTGACCAGGCACTCTAAGAAAAGACCTAAATGACTAATTGTCCAACCTCACTGACCCACTTAGCCTCCACTGCTCCTTGGTCTTATTTCCAGACGAACTTGCTGCTAGCGAATCCAGTTAATAATTCACAGGCATGACTGTGGGTTCGTCAGCTGATACAGGCTGCTCTGTTTTCAAGACACACCCAGGGTCAGTCACTAAGTTGGTCAGTCAGTCAGTAGGCTCATCAAGCAAATGGCTAATGAGTACACTGTGCAGTCACTGAGTGAATCACTGAGCTCATTCGTCCTCTAACTGCATGAGTCAGTTCTTTATTTTTCTTTGTTGATGTTATTATTACCCCCTCTTTCTAAATCCAAAAAATGAAATGGACTCTCAAAGGGAACTCTTTTTTGATCAGTTGAAGCCCCCACTAGACCAGAGACCAGCTCATTTCACTACAATTTGAATGATGTTTATAGCCTATATTGCTATTCTATGTGTTGTGCTGGTTGTTTAGTATTTAACATGATTGCCTGTTTTTATGTTCCACTTCTTGTTGCTTGGTGTTACTCAGCGGTTATGAGGGATGTTGGACCTGTTTTCAAAGTGTAGAGGAAGCCAAAGGAAAATAACAAGTGCTGTGCGCAGTATGCAGAATACCTTTTAAACAATAGTTGATAAGTGGACTGCTCAACAATGAAACAATGTCCTCAGGGCAGAGAGAAACTGTGGTTACAGTATCAAGCTGGTATGCAAGCCCCAGTGTGTTTGGTAAATACTTGTGTATGTGTATATGTAAACAACCAAATATCCATCTTAATTTGATGGTTTCACATTTCTTAATCTGTAAAATATTGTAACCTAAGGATATAAACCGTGAAAAAATCATCAAAAAGATTAATGTGGATTGCTATTTTGATATCATGGCACCTCTCCAGCACTCTGCCAGAATTATTTTATTCAGTGAAAATTAAATTTTAAAATTTGCACTAAAATTGTGGCTCATATTGCAATAGCAATATAAAATAATCGCAGTATGATTTTTTTTTTTTTTTCATATCATTCAGCCTTACAGTGCACTTTACCTTTTTGTTTTGCACAATTTGTTACTGTAGATTCGTTATTGTTTGTTATTTGCATCAGTTGTTGTAATAAACATATTAATAATAATAAACATATAACATAGTCAAAAATCTATAAAGTCAATCTCTTTACCGGCCTTCTATGAGTACCCAGGGTGCGCATAAGAGCATGTGACTGGTTTTGTGTATTATTTAGTATCATTTGTATTTAATATTAAAGTAAATATTTTTAGGTTTTGGACTGTTGGTCAGACAAAACAAATCATTTGGAGGTGTCATCTCAGACTCTGGAAGCTTGTTTTCACAATTTCCTGAATTATCAGAGACTAAAAGGTTAATTTATTAATAAATAACAATACAAATAATCATTAAATGAATCAATAATGAAAGTAATCAGTAGTTGTAACCTTAAAATGAGTGTACATTTAATTCACTAACTCAAATAACTGAATATAGTGTTAAATTACTCCTTAATTATATGCAGACCTTCTGTTTTACTTTGTAATGATATGAAATAGAACATTTGTCTTGTTGGTTTTCTGCTGTACTAAAACAGAATAAACTCAATACAGAAAGTTAGATTCACTTCAGCATGGCTCTTTCAAAAATTACTTTAAGGTTCTTTTACTTCAGTAACTTCTTATCTTCTGCAGCTTTACAAGAATACTGACTCTAGATCAGAGCATCCGGGCTCGTCTGCACCCTCTAATGACTCAGCCAGTGTCTGGGGTTGAGGAGCTGTGCTTAAGGGCCCCCTTTTACAGGTGGCAAAATCACTCAGTGCTGGTTGAGTCATTCTAAAACTCAGCAGCTCATCACAGGATTTCCTTTCACTGACATGTCCCGATCTGACACTACACTACAGTTTAGTGGTCTGTACTTTGGCCGTATTTACTGCAAAACTCTATCGCCTATTTCGATCCTTGCCATGCTTTCTCCAGACTTTCTCCTTGGCAAAAATGTTAACTGTTGGCCACAGTTTAAAAAGTATTCTTGAAATTTTTTTTTACAATGTAATCTACTAGACTGTTTACCATGTGTGGTAAAGTGTTGATGCCCTGACACTTGTTCTATGCTAGTACCTTAAAGCTGCCAAGGCTGACAAGCTGCATATCCTTCCTTCTGATCTGGTTACTGACTCAGATATCAACTCTCCTGGTCACAGAATCCCTTATTAAGCAAGAAGATGGTACAGGAGCTGATATTTTCTCCTTTTCATTATTTCACCAGTTATATTAACAAGTTCATAGCAATAGGTCCAAAGAGTTGGTATACTCCACACAGTTAATGAAAACACAGAGACATACACATGGTACATTATGCTCTGGTCACTGATCATTGCAATAAGGAGTTGTCATTATTGAATTATACTAAGTCCCTACTGTATGTGTTGGTTTTCACATTCACCAGCTTTGCCTTCCCTCTCTTTCTTTCTCTTGAATATGTATTCACTGTTTAGAGCATGATTTTAAACAGCTTTGGTCTATTTTGGGATCTTGTTTGCTCAGTGTTACAGATACACATCTCTTGTTTGTTTAATAATTTGCTTTACTCTAAGAGATTAGAAGCTGCGCTGGTAAGAGGCTGATACGAATCAGTGCTCCCTGAGGTTTATCTCTGTCAGTTAGTCTCATGACTGGGTCTTTTCAGGATTCAGGTCTTGCATTTGCTTCATCTGCAATTCTAATGTTGTGAAATGAAACTTTTGAGAAGTCTATTCAAATGTTGTTCAACATGTTCAAAACGTTCATGTTCATTTCTCAAGAGAAGGTTGCCTTTGTTTTCACAGCAGAATGGAAACCCCCTTACACCCATATACACACATAGTCATTTTACACTATTCTCTTTCCATCACACATCACTCGTCATGTAAAATTTGATATTTAAAAACAATAAACTAATAGGTTACTGTATACAACAGAATGAGGCGTGTGTGACTGTAACTGATCTTCCACTTCAGGAACTTTTGTAGGGGACCAAAAACCTTTTGAGGAACTCGGCAACTTAGCCTGTGTTTGAAGCGGAGGAACCGGGGACTAAATTTAGTTACAGGTGCTAAAAAAAAGTTCCCTGGTCCAGGAGTAGTACTTCCAAAAGTTTAGGAATTTTGGGGGCAGGCCTGTCCATTGCTGATTGGTCCAACACAGATGCTGCTGCTTCAACTCATGTACCACTTCATAGGTAAAACAATATAGTATTCTACTATGAATATTATGGTGAGGGTCAACATTTCTTGTTGTTAGCCTTTGCTGTTGTCTTCCTGACTTGTTTTAATAGAAGAGCAAAGAAAGAGAAACAGTGCGAATGAGCTGATAACACAAACGAACAAATGAGAATGAGGGGCTGGGGGTGGTTGAGAGAGCTAGAGTATGAGAGGGAGGGGAACGCCAGTAGAAACAGCAAAGCAAGTGAAGGAGAGAATTGCAACTTGATTTGCTGATTTGTTTCATGGTAGTTGTGTCCTAAGGCATAAATAAATAAAAATCATGTTTCCTATTCATTCATTGACTGTATATCAACTCAAACAGTGTCATGCAGCAGTAAAGTCAAATAACAGGATGGCACTGTTTTTTTTTTTTTTCCTATGTGTGAAACCTATGTTTCAAATGCTGCTGTTGTTTGTTTATTAATCCACCATAGATCTGATTTGCCTGATCTTCACAGTTCTTCAGGAGCAATGTGGAAATGAAAAAAGGCACTTTTGGTTTCTAATTTAGTTCCTTGGTTTCATTGTTCCTGGAACCTTTGGAGGCTTTAGACTCAGTATCTCAGTACTCACAATTTTAGTCTGTTACGTGATTTGTTTACTTGTTTTACTATTTACTATTTGTTAACTTGTATAATTCCACAAGTAAATAAGTGTAAGGAGGTGAAGTGTCATAAATCACAGGGTTGTTGTTCTTGTGAATACTTTCTGTTTCACAAGGACTCACAACACTCTTTATTGTAAATTTTTTATTTGGCGTATTTTTTTTATTCAGCTTTGTTATTGTCTTTCTTGTGACCTTGGAACTATTGGGAAAGAGCAGGAACTGAAGAAAAATGCAGTTAAGTAGCTGGAGAACTACTGTGGCTGAACAGGTCCACTGTGGACACAGAGGACTGCATCTGCTGGCGTTTGGCTTTGGCTGCAGGTGGAGATCAGGTGTTACATTCAGCCTTGTCAGCTACTGGCCTGTCACGCTTGGCATGGAGTGACTCTGTCCTAGTACAGATGGGAATGTGATATCCATATCCTCAACAGCTGTTGGAAAGACACAGAGAGAAGCTGTCAACAAGAGACTGAAAGATGGAAACCAAAGTATAACAGAGCTTTGTGAAATGCGGTGTTTGCTCCTATGTGAAAGACACTGAGAGGGTCTACTGAGCAAGAATGGACTAAAAAATCTGGCCTAAATGCAATCAACAGATTGATGAAGTGACGTTTCTGATAAAGCCGAACGGCTTGTTTTTCATCTCTCGGTTGACTGTTGCTCTGATGCTTGCAAATCAGCGCAATACTCACTTTAAGGCTGCTGAAAACCCAGCAGGTGATTGTCTTGATGTGGAGCATCTTTGGTGATTAATGTGCCATCAGAGATTTGTCAGACCCCATGGGGATGCACAGTCCTGTTTTCAGGAATGTCAGTACATCCAGATCTGCAGAAATGTCCTACAGTGTGGCTTCAGGATATTTTGTATGTCCTTGGATCAAGCTGGACATTGCAGTGCTCTTTGCCATATGGCGTGCTACCCTGAATCAGACATAACAGTTAATCGTTAGAAGGAGAAGAAAAGCTGGTTATACATGTATTTAACAGTGGACAGAAATGGAAATCCCCAACCTTGTCAGGCTACAAGGCTACATGTCCATCCACCACTGAAGCTGCATGATGCTTTTAGCTACAAAACAAACAGAACATTGTCCGATGACTGTTGCTTTTATGGCTGCCATTATTGCTTTAAGTAACATGCTTGCCATATGTCAGGTTCAAGTTTGTTGGCATAATTCTTTATGGACAGTGTTATTTAATGTTAAATATTGCCCGTTGTAACCAGAGAATATTAAAAGGGACAAAGTCTGAGTGAAGTTTACTGTGGGTGTAGAATTTTCCATCAAGGTGAATAGAAAGCTGTTTTATCAAAAATGTGAACAGAAAAATCAAACAGTCATCTGCAAGACCGCGGAGGCAATGGTTTGCAGTTAAAGAAACACAGCAGGGTTTAAGTAAGAAAGTAAGAACATATATGGAAGTTGTCGGTATAACCGTTCTCTGTTACAAATTAGATAATAATCTGACTTTCTGTTTCTGTCTCTGTCTCTAGACAAGCGGGGAAAAGGTGAGTCGGTTGAGTCTGGTAGACTTGGCTGGAAGTGAGCGAGCAGCAAAGACTGGAGCAGCAGGAGAACGACTGAAGGAGGGAAGCAACATCAACAAGTATGCAAAAGCAGTGAAACACAAATACACAAACCCATGATTGAGTGTTTATCGGGTTGTTTACTTGAATCTTAACCCAGGATTGTGTACTTGCATATAGTCCCACTGCGGTGACTTTATTTTCACTTTTAACCCTTGAAACCCTTAAAAAAGCATCCCGACACAGAAACAGACAGATGCAGACACTAAAGCAGGAACCAGGTGACACCGACCTATGAGCTGGTACATGAAATAAAATGGAAAGCCTTTGTCCTTAGTGTTTTTGTATGTATGTGTGTGTTTGTCAGGTCTCTGACTACGTTGGGTCTGGTGATCTCGGCTCTGGCTGAACAGGGAACTGCCAAGAACAAGACCAAGTTTGTCCCTTACAGAGACTCTGTTCTGACATGGCTGCTGAAGGTACATGCATGATAAACATACAGGAAAATCATTCTCTCATGCATCTTTATTTTGTTATAAGAGACTGCCCCTGTTTTTATAATTTCTCCCTGCTTCTCTCCTCTTTTCGTCTCCAGGACTGTCTGGGAGGCAACAGTCGCACAGCGATGGTTGCAACTGTGAGTCCGTCTGCAGACAACTATGAGGAGACGCTGTCGACGCTGCGTTATGCTGACCGAGCAAAGAACATCGTCAACCATGCTGTGGTTAATGAAGACCCCAACGCTCGCATCATCAGGGAGCTCAGAGAGGAAGTAGAGAAACTGCGAGTACAGCTGACCCAGGCAGAGGTGAGACATCTTTGAAATCTTAGAAATCAGCATTTTAAAAATCTCTGCTTTCCCTTCCTCTCATCTGCTGTTTTTTTTTTCTCCAGTCTTTAAAGGCTCCAGAGTTAAAGGAGCGTCTGGAAGAGTCTGAGAAGTTGATTCAAGAGATGACCATCACCTGGGAGGAGAAGCTTCGCAAAACTGAAGAGATTGCACAGGTAAGACACACAAAAGTGGAAATTGAATGATTAAATTGAACGATTAAATTGATTTTCTGCATTTTTTCGCATCATTTAGATATTGAATCATACACTGTGTTTGTCTTTGTGTGTTTGTAGGAGCGTCAGAAGCAGTTAGAGAGTCTGGGCATTTCCCTGCAGTCCTCAGGGATTAAAGTGGGAGATGACAAGAGCTTTCTTGTCAACCTTAACGCTGATCCTGCGCTAAATGAACTGTTGGTGTACTACCTAAAGGTTCTTACACACTTTGTTTCTCATGCTTAATATTTCGTTATTTATTCTCTTATTAACACAAAATACCAAGCAATAGTATCACTATAATTGAATTTACTGTCTGTGTTTGATGCAGGTTGCAATGTCTCTGGCCTCTAAACATTACATCTTAGCTCAGCTGCCATAGATGTTTTATTCTCAGCTGATAACGTCTTATAATATCTTGATTGTTGTGTCTCAGGAACACACAAAGGTGGGCTCAGCAGATTCTCAGGACATCCAGTTGTGTGGGATGGGTATCCAGGCAGAGCACTGTGTCATTGACATTTCAGCAGAAACTGCAGTTATCCTCACCCCCTACCGCAACGCTCGGTAAGTCACACTAACATAAAAGAGCCAGGTTGCAGTGTGGAGCAGCTAACTGAGTGTAGCTCTGTTGGAAGAGCAACGCACCAACAATAGCAGGATCTTTTACCTACATAGACACTGGTGGATTAGCTTTTAACAGTAAATTCTAATGTCCCTGCTGTTTTCTGTTATAGGACATGTGTTAATGGTTCTCCAGTAACCAGCGCTCTGCAGCTTCACCATGGCGACAGAATCTTCTGGGGAAACAACCACTTCTTCAGGTAATTTTATACAAACCTTAAATGTTTGTATGTTATTTGTAATTTTCATAGTGTTTTATATCGTGTCACTCACTATGCCATTTAGTCATTTTACAGAAGTTGAACATGTATCTCAGATTTCCGTGATATCCGACCAACATGTTATGTAGGATTTCCAAACAGGAATTATTTAAGTTGTTGCAAATATGACCTAATTGCTGACAGTGAGGTTATAGCAAATTTACCAAATGATACCTGGTCAGAGTTACATTGGTCAGAGTTAATAAACTGGACATCCTACCTGCAGGATCAACCTGCCTAAGCGGCGCTCTCGGGGAGCAGAGGATGAAGAGGGTGAGGGTGGTGTAATGAAGAACAGTAGCAGCAGTGAGCAGCTGGATGCAGATGGTGACACAGCCAGCGAAGTGTCCAGTGAAGTCAGCTTCTCCTACGAGTTCGCCCAGACAGAGGTCATGATGAAAGCCCTAGGCAATAATGGTAAGAAAGAGTTAGGTAAATTAAATATCTGTGTGCTGACAGAATATGACTTTGTTTATTTTTCTTTTCTGACTCATCTCTGTTATGTCCTGTCAGATCCCATGCAGGCAGTCCTCCAGTCTCTGGAGAGGCAGCATGAAGAGGAGAAGCGTTCTGCTCTGGAGCGTCAGAGACAGATGTATGAGCAGGAACTCCAGCAGCTCCGCAAGAAGCTAAACCCGGACCGCCTGTCCACAGGCTCCTCGGGAGCGCCAGCGCCTGGCCAGCAAGGTTCAGGACAGCAGTCTCACTACCGCAGCCTGGAGAGACTCAGTATAGGAGGAATGAGCCACTCATCCAGCGCTCAGAGCAGACTGAGGCAGTGGAGTGAGGACAGGTGAGAGCGTCTGTGAGTGTGTAGATACAGTATGTGTATGCGTGTTGTGTTTTGATAAGCCAATGCAAATTTACTATTTTATCTCCCCTTCTCTCCCCTTCCTCCCTGACACCTCCTGCAGGGAGGTGGTGTTGGTGAGGAGTCTCAGAAGGTTGAGGGAGCAGATAGTGAGGGCAAACCTCCTGGTACAAGAAGCCTGTTTCATCGCTGAGGAGCTGGAGCGACACACCGAGTACAGAGTCACTCTGCAGATCCCATCGGACAACCTCAACGCAAACCGCAAGGTCTCTCACACACAAACACACTCATGTGCTGGTCTTATGTCTTCTGTTTTTATCATAGGCGATTACCTAACTGTGTGTGTGTGTGTGTGTGTGTGTGTGTGTGTGTGTGTGTGTGTGTGTGTGTGTGTAGAGGGATGCTGTGCTCAGTGAACCAGCCATTCAGGTTAGACGTCGTTGTCGAGGGAAACAGATCTGGAGTTTGGAGAAGATGGAGAACCGTTTGGTGGACATGAGAGAGCTGTACCAGGAGTGGCAGGACTACCACCTCCATCACCATGACAACCCAGTGAGTTTGCTTGACAATATTGCCATGTCAAGTTATAATAACCCTGCCTGGCCACTATGACGGCACCATCAATAAGCACGAGTGCACAAATACAGTATTTGACTCTATTAATTATGTAATGAGGACATACCCTTTGGGCAGGTTTTGGAACAAACATAGATAATGAACATTGTTGATGCTAATGTGATTAAAACATGCTTAAACTTAATTGTCGTAAAAATGTTCTTCTTTTTCCTCGTCTAGGTGATGCGCTCATATTTCCGTCGAGCTGACCCGTTCTTTGACGAGCAGGAAAACCACAGTCTGATCGGCGTTGCCAATGTCTTCCTCTCCTGTCTCTTCTACGACGTCAAGCTGCAATATGCCATTCCCATCATCAACCAGAAGGGAGAGGTAGGGAGTCACTGTACTTTGATAGTGAAATACATTTAGAATTTAATTATTGTGTGTAGAATTTGAGAGGGAAAGATGTCAGGGTCAAAACTTACATTGAGACCATAATCTTGTTATTGGAATGATTTATGCAATGATACCAAAATTCTAGGGAAAGATAAAAGAGGTAAAAAGACAATGGGATGAGTAAATAGTAAGTCTGCCACTCACCAGCTGACATCTTCCACGCTTCATCTGTTTTCTGTGTTTTCCCTCTTGTCCCTGTGGCCAGGTTGCAGGCCGTCTCCATGTGGAGGTGGTGAGGGTTGGTGGAGGCTTAGAAGACAACATGGCTGGAGGAGATGAACCAGACAACAACCAAGACGGTGAAATCCAAGATCGCAAACTTGTGTGCATGGTAAGATCATCAGAGAGAAGTGTGTTACATTCAGACCTGGAACAGTCAGTAGTTTAAAATCATTCCCAGAGCTTTGTTCTATAATTCAGGGAGTACTAAGTGCTCAATCTACTTTATTTTAAAAAATTAAGATTTTGTATTTTAATTTCAATGCACATTATATGTTTAAATGACCTTTGACCTGTGTATGCTCTACAGATTAAGATCCTGCAGGCCACTGGTCTTCCCCAGTACCTGTCCAACTTCGTCTTCTGTCAGTACTCATTCTGGGACCAGCCTGAGCCCATCATCGTGGCTCCTGAAGTCGACCCATCATCCTCGTCACCCAGCACCAAAGACCCACACTGCATGGTGGTGTTTGACAGCTGCAAGGTGAACAGCTGGAGGGAGGGAGAAGAACTTTAGGAGGCTTATATGAACAAATCTAAAAGCTTTCATGAATTATGTATGGGTTGTTGGGTTAACCATTGTTGTGTGGAGATATTTTTATAACGGGGGTGGCTAATATGTTGTCGGTATGACACTGGTCTCTATGGATACTGTAGGAGCTGGCTGTGTCAGTGACAGAGGATTTCATCGAGTACCTCACAGAGGGAGCAGTTGCCATCGAGGTTTATGGACACAGGCAGGCAGATGCAGGCAGGAACCCCGCCCTGTGGGACCTCAGCATCATCCAGGCCAAGACACGCACACTACGAGACAGGTATACACACACACATACACACTCATCTTTGACTCTTACTTTGGCTTGCAAGACTAGCTATCCAGTGAGTGATGAAAAACCAGTGCTCTTTTGTTTCATAGATGTGTTGATAATGTTCGTTTTTGCAGATGGAGTGAGGTGATGCGTCGTCTGGAGCTGTGGATTCAAATCCTGGAGATAAATGAGAACGGAGACTTTGTCCCGGTGGAAGTGGTTCCTGCCAGAGATGTAAGGACCGGTGGAATCTTCCAGCTTCGACAGGTAGGGATAAACACTGATACAACCACAGTAAACAAGGTTGCAGCAGGTGGAACCAGCAAACTTGAGCTGAAGCCAACTTCTAAATATTTTCAAACTAACGTCCTGTCTTCTACACTTCTGTGTTATGCTCCCCTGTCCCTCCCTCCCCATCTCCAGGGTCAGTCAAGGCGAATCCAGGTGGACGTGCGTTCAGTCCAGGACTCGGGCACCATGCCTCTGATATCAGAGATAGTGCTTGCAGTGTCAGTGGGCTGTGTGGAGATCAGAAACACCACAGCAAACCAGGAAATAGACGAGATGGACAGTTATCAGGTAACACTGTCTACAGGCTGTTCTGTTCTTTCAGTAAGTCTTAAATCGACTTGCAGCTGAATTGAAGCCAAAGGTGATTAACTGGCTGGTTTGTTGGACAGGAAAGAGATCTGGAACGTTTGCGGCGGCAGTGGCTAGCAGCTCTGACCAAGAGACAGGAATACCTCGATCAACACCTGCAGAGCCTGGTCAGCAAAGCAGGTAAGACACAAACACACATTATACATTATTATTCATTATACACATACTGTACATTTAAAAACTCACACCACACCCAACATACATTAAAAAAGGTGTAACACCACCCTCTATAGCCTGCAGGCGTCTTCACAATTAGCCAGTTAAATTTAGGTGGTTTTCAGTGAAGGAGGTGTTTAATGTTTGAGCGCTGTTGTGTGCACAGAAAAGACAGAGGATGACATGGAGAGGGAGGCTCAGCTGCTGGAGTGGCGCTTGACTCTGACAGAAGAGAGAAACGCTGTCATGGTGCCCTCTGCTGGCAGCGGCATCCCTGGAGCACCTGCTGAATGGTATGTCACAAGTCTGGATGTGTTTGTGTCTCTGATTTGATTTATTTAATGTTTCCTCGTGATTGGTCAAACTTTATCACTTCGAGGCACAAAGGTACAGACAAACACGCCTTTAAATCACAATTTGTTTTGCACGTCTGCTCACAGGGTTCCTCTGCCAGGCATGGAGACTCATATTCCTGTCCTCTTCCTGAACCTCAAACGTACGTCACTTCCACACACTAAATCTAAGCACAATTGCGTGACTTTACTATTGTATTGTGATCTGTATTATATAATTTTGTAAGAATAAACTCAATCATTTTCTCTGGTTGAGTAATTTGTTCTTGATCAAGTGTTTTTCTTCTCTCAAGCTGCTTGTCAATGTTTTTGTTGTTGTTGTTGTTGTTGTTTCTTCAGCCGATGACCTCAGCTCTCAAGACCAGTTTGAGGTTCCTGAGGCTGGAGGCTGGGATGCCACCCTGAGTGGAGAAGATGAGGATGACTTCTTCGATCTGCAAATTGTCAAACACTACGACGGAGAGGTGGGGATAGAGCTGCAGTAATGTTATGAGAAATTCCTGCAGTCCATTTTGGGAACAGGTTAATTCACCAGTTGTGTTTGTCAACCCCACAGGTAAAAGCAGAGGCATCATGGGACTCCACCGTCCATGAGTGCCCCCAGCTCAGTCGTGGGGGAGCGTGGCCTGAGCAGCGAGTGTACCTCACAGTTAGAGTGGTGGTTCAGCTCAGTCATCCTGCTGACATGCAACTGGTCCTGAGGAAAAGAATCTGCGTTAATGTTAACCCTGGCCGCCAGGGGTTTGCCCACAACTTTCTGAGAAGGATGTCCACCCGCAGCACCATACCAGGCTGTGGGGTCACATTCGAGGTGGTCTCCAACATCCCCGGGGTAAGGAAATGAAAAGATGTCAGAAATTCTTTGTTGAGTGGGGTGGATTACTGAACACAAATCTTTATGATGTTTTGTCCCATCAGGACGCCCCTGGATCAGAAGACAGGGAGATGTTGGCCCGGCTCGCTGCCAGCGCACACAACAGCCAGTCAGCTGATGACGAGGCTGCTATTGAGAAATACCTCCGAAGTGTCCTGAGCCTGGAGAACATCCTGACTCTGGATAGACTCAGACAGGTAGATGGAGACTTACAGTCTGAGGCAGATAAACATGATACATTTTTACAGCAAAATTAGCGAGTATAAGCAGGTTTTTTAAGTGCAGGAAAACTCACTAAAAAAAGGCGATTGACTCCTTTCACACTCCAAAATGAGTTTTCCTTTCTGTTAGGACTGAGGACACACACACACACAACTGCAGGGAGCAACAGAGACACAGATATAGGGGAGGAAATATCCTCACAGATTCAAAGAATGAGCTATTAGCTGCCACACAGGCTGGTAAAATGGATCTGTCATGTTTCATCCCCGGGTAGGTGCTCCTGTAAGTGTCACAGCCTCTGTGTGAGACGCTTCGGTCAGTGAGTGCGTGTTTTTAAAACTTATCGAGTGCAGCTACACCTTCCACTGAGAGTGTCTCTGTCTTAACAGCACCGTGCTAAAAATTACCGTGTTCACCGAGGTGTCGTATCACTGCTGATCCGAGCCAGAGCCAATAAATACCAATGTCTACTGCAGAGTCATTTGAACCGCAAGTGAATGCAGATTGTACCCCTTGATACGGACAACAAAAACCAGATGTTAGTGCATTTGTTTTAACACACCTGGCAAAATATGAAAGTAAATTTTGTGTGTGTGTTGTAGGAGGTGGCAGTGAAGGAGCAACTGGCTGGCCGAGGGAGGAGCAACAGACGAAGCCTGAGTTCTCCTTCTGTCCACAGGGTAAAACACAAATACAACACTAATAAATACCAGTATATTATACTATGAGATAATGAAAATATACTGACACTAACATAATACAATTTTTCTCAATATACTCCCTGTCTATCCTCAGCTGTCTGGAAGTAGACAAGACTTATCCACAACTTGCCTGCTGGATGATAAGGTAACACTTTTTGCCTTTTGTTCACTGTTCAGCATGTAGATACAGAACTAGTACAGATGTCGTATATCGTATAGTTCTCCACACATATTACAGCTCTGATGCCACATTTCATTATTTTGAAACCAATGTCCTGTCGTCTTTCTGCCGTCTACTTCTCAGGGTCGATGGGAGAGTCAGCAGGATATCTTCATGCCCTCTCACCGCACCCTCCCTCGCCCAGCCTCCTCCCCTTCCACCTACTCCACCTCCCCTTCCTCATCCCCTACTCCCTTCGCTATGACCCCCCCACAGAACCAGGAACCAGAGCCAGGTAAAGTTCCTTAATTTACCCCCACTACCTCTCCTCTCCCCCATAAATGCCTTTTGACCCCCCCCTCAATACTCCTCCATTTTACTCTCTTATCCATCCTTCCTTCCTCTTCTGTTTTCCACCTGGGTTTTTAATTCTGAGACCCTCTCCTCCTAGTCTTGCCCCCTCTTCCATTCTTCTTCTGTCTGATGTTGCCATAACACTGCATTTTACTACACCATCTCATGTTTCATAGTTTACATTAGAAAATGCTGGGTTTCCACTCTGTTCCCATCATTTCCAGCAAATATCATGTGTAATATCTCCCCTCCTACCTCCCTCTTTTGGCATCATGTCTGTACATCTCTGCTGCTGTGAATTTCTTTCTCCTCTCTCCTCATATTTATCACTAAATCACTCTTTGTCTGGTCTGATCAATCTGATTATTTCTTTCAGCTAGCTAATTCATAGTGATTTCTTTTCCATGTCAGTCAGAATTCATGTTACTGTGACATGTTTTTAAATTAATTCTGTTTTGAAAAATGAACAGAATTAATTGATTTTGATTAATTTCATGCTTCAGTGATTAGAACGTTATCTTCACTGTAATGGCTAAATCAACCATCTGTGCCGGCTGATGTTTTCTCCTGTCAGTCTATCACTGTGTTTGGGTTTTTGCCATTTCCTGAACTCTTTCTCAACTTCCTGTCTTAATCTTTCACATCTCCTCTACCTCCTGCACCTCCTCTTGTTTCCTTGCTTCCTACCTCTCTCTTTCTACCTCCTCTTCCTCCTCTCTCACCTTCCCACCCCCTCCCCCCAGGTCGTTCAGGACTTGCTGCCTCTTATCTTTCAGTTAAGGCGCTGGTTCCTCAGATGCCCAAACTGCTCAAGTCTCTGTTTCCGGTGCGAGATGACAAGAAGGAGCTGAGACCATCGCCGCACAACCAGCAGGTCAGCAGAGATGGGATAGTAGAGCTCAGTGACATGGAGCACACACCTTTTCTCTTGTCTTAACAGTTACAGTCAAGGTGCCCTTTGAGCAAGGCACTTTCATTTTCTTCAGTGGAAAGTTCATTTTTAGTGGAACTTTATGTAATTGTGTTTAAATGCACATGGTAGGTTCCAGTCAACTTTGCTGGAGGAATAAATGTCAAAATATACTAGACTGGTAGAACCAGTACATTACGGGTAAGTGAACATGCATACATGTACCCTTATTTTCTTGTCCTGACCTTGCTTGTTGTTACTCAGCAGCATGTACCGCGCATCATGACATCATCAGGAGGGGACGACAACCGACTCAAAACTGAGACGGTGAGACTGTGCCCCGTCCTTGCTGCCCTCATATGTTGACTTTTATTGCCTCTGTTGGTTGATCAGTAGCTGTTAGCTCAGATTTGATTTAGCACTCATACTTTACCAATAAAGGGTTTAGATTCATGCCAAAGCAGCACAGAGGGCTTTGTTGTATATTTTTCATTGATAAAATAATTTTTCTGGATAACCTCTTCTGTATTTATCAAGTACTCATATTCAGGTGCACAGAATTACAGGACAGGTTCACATTTGTTTTCAAGTCTATCTCAATACAACACTTACATGCAAATATTCACATTGAAAGCATTATTGATCACGTTATCTCTGTATGTCCATACTGACCACAGAGCAAATTAGAATTAAACTTCCCTTTTGTTGGGGAGAGAGTTCAAAATTTAAGAAGCAGAGACAGACATGCTAATTGTTAGAGCCTATTATTGAAAACCTCTTCTCTACATTTTCCATAATTCAACTCAACTCTTTCATTAACCCCCACTTCTTTCACCCTCCAGTTTGTAATACAGGCTTTCTGTCAAAACACATCTCAAATCTAAGTTAGTCCCCCTGTTGAGTAAATTGAACTTCATGTGTAAAATTGGTGGAGTGCCCCTTTAATGAACTCCAGTATTATTTATTTACAGTCCTCCAGTACACTTATAAATTCAATCTTAAAATGCGTCTCCAGCGGTCTGAGTTAAACAGATCAAGTGTCAAGAGTTATTGTCAAATTAATATCACACTACAAACATAGAACCTCCAGAGGAAATTTGACTAACTTAGACCACAAAAGTCTCATATTATTATCACTCTTTGTGGTCAGTATGGAAAGGAGAGACAATAACAACAACCAATAACCTTTTCAGTGTTCATATGGACACGTCAATATTAATTTAAGAATGTGAATCTATCTTGTAACCCCAGTTACATTCTTGAGTCTGAAATCATAAAATCATCTACTGCCACCATGTTCAGTAGTAGTTCTGGTTCCACATTGGTTCCTGATCTGGTCCAAAGTTCATAGGGTAAATGAGGAAAAGAGTAGCAGATGATGGAAATGGTCCCAAAAATAATACACACAACATACTGTAGACTTTGTTCCTTCCTGTTAGCCCAAAAGATGACTCAAGTTTTGGGGGAAGTTGATCATTAGTGCTGATTACTGTTTTATTTTGCCTTGTCTGCATGCTCTCATCTGTTCCTCTGTTCCTGCGGCAACTGTGGGTTTCTTGTACACTGCTTTTCTGCAGCCCCCAACCAAAGACAGGCGGGCAGAGTTCCCAGAAGTCCCTCCTCTTCCTGTGCATGACCCGCATGACACCACCCCCCTCAGCCCCCTCAGCCAGTCGTCAAGCGGCTACTTCTCCACTAGTGTTTCTACAGTCACCCTGTCTGACGTTCTCCAACCCTCCTCCTCGTCTTCCTCCCTCCTGGCTGCTGAGACTACGTTACCCACAAACCCCCAGCAGCAGGGTGCTGACAGGAACGATGTTGTGACCTCTCCTTCTCAGTGTGGTGCCAAGATGGCTGTCGTTGCTCCACAATCTTCAAACAGCTCAGCCAATCACAACAACGTCACAGCGGAAAACTCCTTTTCTAAACAGAGGCTGGTAAACTCAGGAGGAGGAGGAGGTGAAGGGTTTGAACAGCTGGAGATCTTTGTGGACGACGAAGAGCATAGTCATGACGACAATCTGCCTGACTGGCTGACAGAAGGGGCATATGTTACAGTAGGAGGCAATAAGGCGGGGACAGTGCGCTACGTGGGAGTGACGCAGTTTGCTGAGGGAGTGTGGGTGGGGGTGGAGCTGGACACACCTGTAGGTAGGTGCACAATTAAAACAATCAGTTCAACTACATCACACAATTAATTGGGAACCTGCTTCCTCAAGCATCAGATTATGGGAGCTGGAAATGAGTTGCTCATTTAAAAAATACTCTTATAGTGCTCACTTTTGATTGGTGGTGATGATCCTCACTGTTTTCTTCCTACAGGTAAGAATGACGGTTCAGTCGGAGGGCATCGGTATTTCCACTGTAAACCGGGCTATGGGGTGCTGGTTCGCCCAGACCGGCTGTCCAGTCGTGATCAGACCAGTCGGCGGACAGGAGAGTTTGCTCCTTCCGCCCACGTCCCCGTCCTCCGAAGAGAAGCCATTGTTTCCCGGAGTAGAGAGAGCCGCAAATCCTGGAGCAGTTGAGACAGCGAAACTAGGAGCTGGATGGGAGAGATGAACTCCTCACAGCCCCCCTACTCCTCCTCTTCCTCCACTTCCTCCTCCCTTATCCTCCCAGCTATGCAACAGGCTCACACATCAGAACTGACTTACTGCCTACCGCCACCCCTACAGTAGGAAACTACACTCACAACATCCATTCACAGTTAATGGATACAAACAGAATAAAGACAGTGAAGAGACTATTCAGAAGAAATGCAAGTAAGATGATGAAAGACTATGCAGAGAATATAGAAGTCCATGGAAGGACTATTTATCATGTGGGAAGATAATGCTAAATTAATGGTGGTCAATGGGAAGACTGCTGAGAGTGAATGGAAGCAGACCTTATCATATTGGGAGCGTCAGAGCTCTCCAGGGGTGTAGTTGGAACGCTGCAGATGGGATGATTTGATGATATTCAGGGATGCAAACTAGGCATGAGTCATGTTTTTGTTCCCAGGTCACATCTGTGAGTATGTTTCAAATTTGATGAAATGATCAGACTTTTGTTGCATCTCCACCTGTGATGTGTTTGCATCCCTGGATATGATGTCTCTCCCCGGTGGTCCTGAGATGCAATGTCCCAGAACTGCGTGCTCCAGCTGCCACTCCCCCGAACTCTCTTGGTCTCATCTGCAGACCGACACTTTGACTCACCCTCCTGGACTCCTTTTCTTTTCTCTCGAGGATAGATTCTCCCAGAATGTGCCTTCACCATGGCTTGGTTTGCATTTGTTTTTCTGTGTATTTAATTTCTATTAGCTTTGTCTGTGTTGATGAGAATGCCTTGTGCTAACTTGTGCTAAGTGTGAGGTGATCTCAGGGACTGTAGAGGGGAAAGGCTAAGGAGGGGTGTGCGTGCGTGTGTGTTTTTGTGTGTGTATTTGTAAATGTTGTACAGTGTTGACCTGTGTGCACAAGTTGATATTGTAGTCATGTTGGTGTTAAAGACTAGATGTGTAGAGCAGGAGAAGTGTGTGTCCCTGTTGGACAAAGCCACTGTGGGAGCAAGTTGTTTGTACTGGGAGGGATTTAAGTCGATTTTGCACTGGAGACGTTGGATAAGAAGTTTCTGTACGTGAGGAGAATGTGTCTGTGGGCGGACGACGTGGTAACAGACTCCGTGAGGCTGTTGTAATGTGGCGATGTCTACGACGGTGTTACATTAGAGAATTCTCTCCATCTGACTGGGCTCTCTGGACGTCTGTGTTTGACAGCAAGTGTCCTGGTCGTCCTCTGTAAGTGACTGACGACACTCTGCTGTCTATAGAGTAGTAGTTTGGCGTTGTGTTGGTGGAGATTGGCACGTGTAGGTGTTTAGGAAATGAAAGTGAGACGGACACGCAGAAATCCTGCTGGGACTTTCACACTTGGGAGGAGAATCAATTTGCTTCTATGCATTTGATCTGTTTTGAAAATAGTTTTTAACTTTTATTTTTAAATGAGTGACACAACTGGGAGAATGAACTACGAGCATGTTTTGGGAAAGTGTTAAACTCAGAAGCAGTTTGGAATGATTGAACATTCCTGACGCATCTGTTGAAGATGATGAAGATGATGGGACAGACTTTGAAATTTTTTTTTTTATTAGATTTTTTTTTTTTTATTGAACATTCCAGAGGGACTTTAACATTGTATACTGACCTTGATCCTGTGTATTCATTTACGGAGAAGCATTGGCAGTGCACAGCACTGTTTCATACTTAATGTATACCATAAATTTATGAGGACTTTGGACAAGAGAGAGTTGCCTTGTGGGAGATGTAGGTTCCAGCGTTAGTCAGGATATCTCGGCCTCTGCTGCTTCGACGTGGACGATTCTTTTCTTAACTTGTCTCGAACTTTGTGGAATCACTAAAGTAAATTGCTGGAGACTCTGGTCAGTGTAAAGTGTTTGGTTTGAGTTGTCCTGAGTCTCACCAAGTGAGCGTTCGGCATGTGCTGATTTAATGGTGAAAAATTAATATTTCAACATAATGTGGGATACGCAGCCAGGCGAGGTTCATATCCAAATAGTGACAAACCTGAATATGTTGACATTATTATTGATGTCAAGTTGTGTCGTCATGGGCTGTTTCTATGGTAACAGTTAATTATTGTATACAAAAGAATCTGTAACGATTTCTGATAATATAACGATTCATATAAATACATTATATGGAATTGTACACGTGCATGTAAAGGCACTCAGTATATCCAAACAACATCATCGTTATGGATACAATATTTTTTTTCCATTCCTATACATATGATATATATATCATGCGTTTCTTAATTCAAGAAGCGTGATTTTACTATTTATATTTAAATGCTTGTACACATGCCTTTATCGCATGAAAATTGATAAAGTCTTTTATTTTAATAAATCTTGCACAAATGATTCCATGAAAATTGCTGCTATTAGCATTGTAAATTTAACTGTAAATGGATCAGTTGATTTATCTAACACTCTTACTGTATACTAGATTGGAGTTCGGTAATTTTATTTTTTTTTTCTTCTTCTTTTTTAAATCCCAGATGGAGAAACTAATGTCAACGCTTCAGTTCAGTGGCCAATATATTTTTAATGAAGCAGTAAAATTTTGAAAATTAGGCACTTTGTTATGCAAGCCTTGAAAAAAGAGACAGTTAGAACATTTTCTGGGTGAAAAATCACCTCTGCATTGATTTTTAAAGAGGAATGAGGAAACTCTAATGTTGGAGGTGAATTAAAGCTGAAGTATGAGACAAGGAGATGGTATATCACCAGTCTAGTTATTTATTACTGGCCTTAAAGCCCAGGACCCTGGAGTTCTCTGATTGGTTGTTTACTACAGGTGGCAGTCTGGTATGTTATTGGTCGGCAGGTTGTGAAGTGGTACGTAGGTTGGACTCTTGTTGGTTCAGTTATTTTTATAAAATTGTGGTTCATAATAGTTATGTGGTAATAAAGGAAGACAGTAAAGTTTTCTCATGTATTGTTTGTGTAGCGTGAGTGTGTGAGAACGTGGGGTGGACCTTGCTTTGATTCAGTTTTGTCAGTGGGTCCTCGCCAGGATGGGAGATGACCGTCAGCAGCCACTTTACTTATGATACTTCAGACATGTATCTGGGTGTGACAGACCTCCACCCTCGATGAATCTAAACCTCCGGTTTCTGTGGCTGGTAGTCGCTCCCGTCCTGGTCTGTGCTCTGACACTGTTGTATGGGTCTGAGATCACTTCAGGCTTCTGTATGTTCCTTTATGTTATTGTGCCTCAGAAACCACATGACCATGTATCTTCCACACACTGTTTCCATATCGACGCTTCAATTCATTTGCACAAAAGTCTCCAGAGGGAATCACAGAGTTTATTTCTGGAACATTTGTATATGTGAGAAGAAAATACAACCAGATTTTTCTATGACTCAGTGTTCTCAAGTTACCTGCTGTTCTTTAAACTGTACTAAATATTGTTTTCATTCTCTGAGTTTGGGTTTTTAGAGCGATGTTCTGCCTTTCAAGTAAAAAAAGAAAAAAAAGAAGATTGGTTATGTTGTGAGATAGTATTTTACATGACAGCAGAGGTAAGCTCAGATGTAGTGGTAAGATACGACAACAAAAACATTTGTCTTTTCTTCCAGGACACCTGCTCTATTACTATCCACACAGTTTGCAGCATCATATATGCATTAGTTTTTCAGGTTGAGTGTGACGCTGACATTAGATAGAAAAAGTACAGCTTGTGGGCTGCGTGATGCACATGATCCACAAAGCAACAACAGCCCTTGCAATAAGGAAGTGTAAAAAGAGAAAACTAGCTTCAGTGATAACTGTTCTGAATGGACTTTGTGTTGTGTCCATCTCTGCCACTGTAGAGATTAGAGCAAAGCCATCAGCAGTATTATTTATGTGACCATCAACCACCTGAACCACATTTAGTTCTAACTCTTATTGATGTGATTTGTGTCTGAGCATATTCACACCATATATTGATCTGTAAAAGTCTTCAGTCCCCTACAAAGTTTCTTTTTTTACTGTTTTATTCTTGTTGGTTTCTTGTCTGAAGTGCTTCTTTTTGCTCAGAATTGGTCCCATATCTTCGTTGCATTCACCTCCTGTTGCATTTCCTGCAGCTGTGCGCTAACTACGGGACCACAGGCCTGGACCAACATGTCTTGTCCCCCTGCCTTAATGTGGCCTTCAACCTGGAGCCAGACTGGTTTTAGCAGGAATAATCCCCTCGAACTAAAACATGCTGTTTTCTAAACCCTCGGTGTGCTGTGCTGTTTAAGAGGGTCATTCCAAAACCATATGAACCAATTCTACTTTAAAAAATATACTTAGTTATACATCATTTTTTTAATAGTTTATCAGTTAGTTGTGAGTCATTTGGTCACAGAAGCTGTCAGGTTTTCTTGACTCTTTTCAACTAGAAGGAGGGCCGTTGTGTTGCCCCCTGGTGGCTGCTGTCAAACCTCAATCATTCCACACAGGGAATTTTATATACAACCAGAAAATCATCAAAGTCAGTGGAATTGCAACCCACCACTGGCCCACAGCAGCATGCCTGACAGCTTCTGCCACCTACCTGGGATCAGATCAAATCTTGAAAATCTTCTAAGCAGCAATTTTTTGGATTTATGTCAACTGGTGTTCCTGCCTTTGGTAGTGAGTTTTCACCGTGTTGCTACCTCTGTCGCTGCTCTTGGTCGTCCAGGTTGTTCTACCAACTTCTTTCCTGAGGCCTTCTAGCTGACAAAGAGTTGAACCTGCTTCACTGCTGAACTGGCTGCATCCAGTTCACTCTCACATATTAATATAATCCACACAAACGAGCAATACGTGGCTGTTAGGTTAATGCAACGCAGCCTTTTTTTTTTTTTTTTTTTTGGCATTGACAGCTGGGTCTGCTTTCCAGGAAAAATTCACATACAGCTGCTCCTCGGTGCATTTTAAAGGCAGTTGGTATCAATACTCCTCCTAGGTACCTGCAGCCATAATAAACTGAGCTGTGTAATAATGGAAGGCCTATAGAAGATGAAGGAGGGGGCTTGGTGCTTTGCTAAGTCAGGGAGTTATACCTGCAAAAAGAAAAAAAAAAAAAAAAAGCCCCTCCAGTCCCTGAAACCTTTCACAGGTTTACCTGAAGAGAAATTAGAATCATCAAATGTGGGTTTAATGTGGCCTCGGTCTGGTCAACAGTATTACTAGATCTCGATCATACTAACTAATCATTATCAATCATTGCTACTGTTGATTCTGTGGACCGGGTTTGTCTTGATGTGTCATTTGTATGTGTGAGTGCACCATCGGAGTGGTTGTTCTGTGTATGTATGTATGTGTATATATGCGCATATTAAGACTTATAAAAAGAGAAATCTGAGCACAAGTTTGGGTTTTGATTAATTTAATTGTTTTATGTAATTCTATGCTGCAATCCAAAGAATAAACATGTATTATAATACATTTATAATTTTCATTTTTTATCATCTGAACAGTAATCTGGCAAGAAGAAAATAAAAAAAGGAAGATTAACAAGAGTATTTGATTTTTTATTTGTACCAAACTGCTTTAATGTGAGAGACTGAAGAAGCATGTAGTGTTGTCGCAGTCCACCACTTAGAGTGATGCAGGAACGAAGACGAAGTTGTCACAGCTGGGAAGGTAAGTGGGAACTAAAACCATCTGTTATCCTGCGATGTTTGTTGCTGGAGAAATATAAAATATACTGACAATTTTTTTTTTTTTTGAAGAGGCGAAATGAAAGTGTCGCTTCTCTGGAAGATTTCTCAAAACAAACCGGGCTGTTCTTTGCAGACGCACTGAAAGGCAAGTGAATTAAAACTCATGAAAAACGTCCCCAAAATATTTTTTTCTCTTGCTTCTCAAGGGTCGCTTTCACAAAAACTTGCCTTTCAGGGTTTCCGTAGTTCTCACTTAAAATCATTTACTTTCCTATAAGTATTCCAACTCAAGAGTCCACTTACTCGCATTTTCCAGAGTTTTCAACCATATCGCTCGGATCATCAGCGGANTCGCTTCTCTGGAAGATTTCTCAAAACAAACCGGGCTGTTCTTTGCAGACGCACTGAAAGGCAAGTGAATTAAAACTCATGAAAAACGTCCCCAAAATATTTTTTTCTCTTGTTTCTCAAGGGTCGCTTTCACAAAAACTTAGAAAAGTGATCCTGGCCTAAAAAAAAATCACTTGCCTTTCAGGGCTTCCGTAGTTCTCACTTAAAATCATCTACTTTCCTATAAGTATTCCAACTCAAGAGTTCACTTACTCGCATTTTCCAGAGTTTTCAACCATATCGCTCGGATCATCAGCGGATGAAGCGTGCTGGGTTGTCATGGAGATGGATTTTTGCTGATATGTAAGCTCAGCAGCTTGTCGTTGGTCCAGCTGTCATCTTCCAAACTCCATCCTCTGATGAAGACTGTGATACAACTGAAAGCTCAGAAAAAGCTAGTAAGTGGACCTTGAGTATGGATTGCTTTCTCCAGTTGCTCTCAATTAGTGTTTTCTTTTAACATAATAAAACACTGGATTATTGCATTAGTCATAGTACTGATATAAGGCTGTCTGACTAGTATGGAGGTGTTTTACATTGAGACATTTTAAATGTCCACAACTTATTTTCTCAATTTCTACTTTGAGCGAAAAGGTGGCACAAGAACACAAATTAATCTGCAGACGTTTCAACAGGTTATTACACATGTATGTATTTCACATTTCTGTGTTTGTGTTTTTGACTGCCTTTCTCTCTGGCTTGAAGTGGGTGGGGCTGAGTTGGTTACTGTCGACCAAATTTGATCACACCACAACCACATGGTCCTGATGAAGAACAGGATATTTTATTTATTTTCAAAAATTTAATTGAGATTGTTGCTGATTTAGTCGTCAATATTTAATGTTCAAGAAAAAAAGGTATTCAGGGTTGAGCAGCTGATGAAACCTGCTCTCAGGCCTCAAGCCATTTATAATTAAAAAAAAAAAAAAAAACAGCCTGAATCGACACTTGCTCGTTCTCAACCTTATTTTAGTGTTTTCATTTAGTGAATGGAGCACAGAATGAACATCACTGCACAGCTCCAGCCAACATTTTCATTAGCAGGACTGCATACTCACACTTCACTCAGTTACTGTATGTGCTCACAGCTGGAACAGAAACCCCTAAACCCTGGCAGCAGGTCTGAACAATGAGCAAAAAAAAAAAAAAAATCATATTGTGCTATTAGTTACGATTTCAGTGGGAATGATCATTTTTGCATTTCATTTTCACAGAAAAATAATATAAATGATGATGTAATTTTTGTTGGGGCTTATACCAAACAATCACGTTCTTTTACATCTGGAGAAATGATTTGTAGCCTGGGGACGTCTCTGTAGCACCACAATGAATGCTTGACACATTTTACCTTTAGCAAAAAAAAAAAAAACTTGGCCATATTGTGATTTTGATAATAATTCAATTAATTGTTCAGCCCTCTGGCAGCGTTAGTGCCTGACTGCACACACTGACATATAAACGACACAAAAGAGACACACTGCGTGGACTCAGTTTTTATTCCCTTGTAAATAGAATATCAATAAAAACACACCTTAAAAATAACAAATAAGGTTTATCCAACAGATGAAAAAGTAACAAAAGGCATATGTAGATTTCCTACATTGCGTTTACAGAACAGTCTACCGTCCAAAAAAGGCACTAAATCTTGAAATAGAGAATAAGAGGGGATTAAAAAAAATATCAATTCAAACTGCTACAACAAACATCCTGCAGAGGTTTGATATTTTTCATTTTACAGAGAATTATTGAAGAGTTTATTGCCAGAATGAAATGGAAACCGTGTCGGGGTTAAAGAAGAGAAAAAACACTTCTTTATACATGACTGATAAAATGTTTGAACATGTTTTTTTTGTAGTATTTCAAGTCATTGGCTTAATAAATGAGAACATTAAGACTGAAACATCTACATTTACACTGAATGCATGGATGATAAATGTCCTTTTTTAACCTAAATAAATACAGCATTTTGGAATATAACTCTTCAAATGTCATACTGCATCTCATGTTGACGATATTGACTGATGTAGGAGGACAACAGCAACATTTGGTCCTGAGGCATGAACTGACTGAAACCACAATGACACCAGATCCCCTGCAGCAGATCTCAGATCAGATCAAACCTCTGCAGTCCGACATGCACCCTTACTCTGTGCCAATGGAAGCAAATCAGATCCAGTACTAAGACAAATATTTACTCTACTGTGTATGTTGAGGGACAGTAATTGGAGAGTAAATGTGATCAGGAAATAGTCAGTACCCGGGTGCATGTGCAGGTGTTCCAGGTGTAAAATTAGATCTGATCTGAATCATCAGCTGCTTTGTTGCTGTGAAGAACCAGCAAAGGAAGCACAGCATTTCAAAACAAAGCAGTACAACAAGGCAACAGAGGACTGAAGGCAGATGGTACAACTGCATTTTAACCAATGAAGAAGACACAACACGCTGCCGTCAGCACATGAGCAGCCTGACACAGGGATGAACACAGCTGGAAGAGCAAAGGCTTTCTGTGTCCTTTACGGTATTCTTGTCTCTGTGTCAAGATAACTTTTTTAAGATGGTTGTAATATGAATACACACTTTCTGGCACAAAAATTATGGAGCCAGTTTTGGTTAAAAAAAACTGAAAGCAAAATGAAAATGAAATGTAGTCAACAAACAAGACCAATCAACAGGAAGGAAACCTGTAAGCGACAGAGTAGATTGTGAGGTTGCTGTCATGAAGTCAGCTGTTTTGGTTTTATTATGTGAAATAGTTATGATTTTTTTTCCTGTATCGATCAGGTTTTTAGCCCCGTTTTTAAACTGCAGTGTGTCCTAGTGGCCCTTAACAAATGACTGACACATGACAAGATTCACCTCAGACACTTCCACCCAGCAGTTTGTCTGCTTGACCTGAACATCTCATTGTAATAATGATGATAAGTGGGTCACTCCATGTTTAAACAGGGCCGCAATCTGAGACAGAAAATTGTGCAACTAGCTAAGTTTCCATCCATAAATTCCTGTGCATTTCCATCCACTACAGTTATGAGAGTTGGTTTGTTGAGACAAACAGCGGGTTGCGCCAGTTTTCCAGTCGGGTGCCATTACAACATTGCAGAAGAAGAGGGTGCAATAGGGTGAAAGGTGAAACGTTTGTTTCATGTAATAATTAGAGGGAGGTTACAGCTCCACACAGATTCATTGCACTTTTTTGCGTATATCGATACACAAACTTTTCCACCTCAACCAAGTCTAAAAACCTTTTGTGATATTTTGAGATTTTTCAATATTTTCAACTGAAGCACAACTTGAGAATGTACATAAACACATGGATGGAAACCCACCTACAGACGATGTATAAGAGACAAGAAACAACTATTTTACATAAAACTAAGACAGCAACCCAATTACGGTTTTGTTTCACTTTATCGTTTTTGGTCTCTTGTGCATGTGTGTATTTTTACTCACATTTTGTGTTTTTAATTTGATTCATTTCTGTTTCCCTTTTGCTTTCAGATTTTTTGGTTCTGTAATGGCTGAAAATGACACTGACAAACGACTTTAAATTTGCTGCTCCACAACAACAAAGTACAACTTCATGAGAAGACCATGAAGGCAGCAATTTAAATGATTTAAAATGAAATAATCTGAGAACAACACTTTGTCTTAAATGAATCCATAGATTCACCTCAGAAATGCTCCTGCTTAGCAGATTAAAAAGGAAAAAAAAAAATTTTCTAACCCTCAGTGGGATAGCATATTTTGAGATTTTGGTGTAAATAATTCAAAAGACAGAAAACTACATAACTGACTAACTATGCCTCAGAGTTTTAAAAACGCTTAAAGCAAAGACACCTGGGACAGCTCTGCTGCCGTACATTTAAAGAGACATTCCACCACAAAACTTACATTTTCTCAGACATTTAGTCCGACACCAACACTGAAGATGTGTCAGTACTCCACCAGGATGAGGGCAAAAAGCTATTTTACAATTATTCCATGGACTTTAGTGGAAGCAGGAGCTGATGAACTTATAAATCCTCTTTTAGAGTGGAATTTCCCTTAACTTTCCAACTTAATATTTATTGGCTCGAGTTTGAGAGGGAACTTCCCTTTTAAAAGGATACTGACGTTTCTGTTGTCAGCCAGCATGAACCATCTTTACAGCCTCATCACAGTTTGTTGTCAGTCTCCTCTGAACAGATCAGATCTACAGTCGTTTTTACTCCCATCAGTCTAAACCTTGATTCACATTGAAGCAGCTGTGGAGGAACCTGCAGGGGTGTAGCTTATACTGTAGCTAAGGGGGGTAAAGTGAGGTATTTGTGTCGAGTTTGTAACTCTGAACTAGTAGCTTAGCCTGTAAAGCACCTGGTGATGAACACTGATGAACCAGTTTGACTGGAGCCACTTTAGTGTTGGCTGTTACAGAACATCATGTGTTTAGCTTTCTTGCATTAGTGATGTGTGTACAGCCATTGTAGAAGTCCGTCTTATCAAAAAAATAAGGCACTTCAACTGAAAATCATACAGTACAAAAAATGTAACATTATGGAAATAGTTCTGTATAGTTGGATCAAAGCTTATGAAGAGCTCAACTGATCTTGTGCAAGTTATTGAGGTTTTGGGATTTCTATCAATTGCTATACTGCACGCCACTATTATATACCTTTAAACCAGTGACAAGGTTTTTAGTGTCAATTGTTTATATGTTACACTACACAGTAAAATGTACGCAGCTGGCTACGCTAATGCTAACACAAAAGGTGGATGCTAGTTTCAATGTCTGATAGAATTTCAGCCACTGAACTTGAATACTGATAATCAGCATCACAATAGAAACTCATCAGGGATTAAAGCTGCACTAATCAATTTTTTATTATTTAAAAAGTCACAAATGTGTGTGTATGATGTGAGAGGGGTCACTTGTAGAGGCCAGCCCATAGAAAACAACAACCTGACTCTGAAGTTACCATCAGCTTTTAGCCTCATTTAGCTCATTGTTTTGGTTTTTTTCTGGCCCACAAACTCCACTCTCATCGACCTTCAAGCTATAGCCAGCTGATGTCTGAGTGAAAAATCCACAATAAACTTACGGTACACTACTTGTGAACTGAGTGGAACATTTGGTAGCTGGATAACCAGACGTTTCCCTCAAAAAAGAGCTAAAAAAGAGAGTGAATGTTGTACTTAAAGTCGTCTAGTGTTCAGAGACACAACTCCAAATGAAGGCTAATTTTCTATCTGTCATAACGAGGTTAGAAGGTGACAATATGTCAGAGCTGTGTTTCGAAAGAGATAAACATAGTGCATGCTATAGTGGGAGGTATAACAATAATGTAATGTTTCCCGATAATCATTTTGTATTTTCACACAAAATTTGTGTGTTTCTCATCCAACTAGTTATCAGACTATTGTGTAAGTATCTCTGGTCCAAAGGGCTTAAAAGAGAGAAAACCCTGACTGTTAATAATTCCTTGTGGAGATTAACTTAATGCAGAAAACAGATGGACTTCTACAATGGCTTTACTGGGGTAAATATTCCATGAATTGATTAGTTTGAACATTTATGTTTCAGTCAAAGAAGACGTCTCTGAATGTGAACTATTATCTTTCTGAGGAAAACATCAGTTTCCCAAAATTCTTCTCTTCCTCCTTCCTCTGTCATCTGTCACTCACACTGATCAATGAAATGTTTAAAACAGCAGGGGCTCTAAGCACCAGGATATTGATCCAATAAAGTGTCATTTAAAATGATAATTGGATTTAAACATGACTGTGTGTGTTTAGAACACATGGCATATCGAGCATAAACACAGATATACCTAAAAAGGATAATTATGCATTTAGCTTGCAATAATTTGACACATCTGATGCGTCTTTGATTAGCATATCTCTAATACATAGTTCCATCCATGAATATCATACACTCAGAAAATACATAAATTTAAACTTAATACTTTGGCTAATGCTTCACTCACCGTTCACCAACAAGAAAGACTCATACTGATAGTTTCTCTCATTTGAAGCTAATATGTCTATATACTGTAAATAGAAATGGATTAGGGTACATATACATATACCCTCACAGTTTATATAATATACTGTATATACGTATGTGTGTGTATGTATGCATACACATGTATTATATGTATGTATTCACTTTAATCTTTAATCTATAGTATCTAGAATAATAACAGTGTTATTACACTGTTGAATCCCTCCCAGCTGACTGATTTGTTACTGGGCACAAATTAATCAAGAACACCCGGTCACCTGGACGTCCAGATGTCTACTATTATACACATCTGCCGACACTTCTGGCTTCTTTCGACATTTATGTATTGAGTAACTTTTTTAAAAATGACTTGTTATTGATATGGAAGCAAAGAGAGGCCATATGGATTCCATTTTAGAAAATGAAGACCTAATTGTGCAATTGTATATCTACTAAATATTTAATGTTGAAATTTAAATACCGCTGAATTCAGGTGTCCCGTTTAGGTTTTTTTGCGGGTAGGGGGGCATTTAATGCCTTTAATTGACAGTGTCAGTGAAGATAGACAGGAAATATGGGGAGAGAGGGTAGGCGAGTGACATGCAGGACATGGTCTGCATTGAACTTGTAGCTCAGGGCTTTGAGGCCCATGTGGTATGTGCCACTCAGCTATTGAGTCGTCCCCTTTATGTTCAAATGTGGACATTTGGGCTACCAAGTCAATGAAATGAATCCTAAATGGACTCTATCGGACCTCTGGTCTATCAGGTTATGTTCTGCAAGTCACATAATCCGAGAAAGAGAAGCTCGAACAATCTTGTATCTGAATTTGGGACCCTGAAAAACAAGTAACAAAAAATGGTTTGTTTTGAAATTGAAAAATTTCTTGGTGTTTAAATTTCACAACTAGGTATTTGTAAAATTCAAATTATTACGTCCTTTCTTTGCTTCCAAATGTTGAGCTTATTGTATGAGGGCAAGGGAGAGAGGATTGGGTCACAGTAATGTTTCCAACATGATGTGACCCTGACTTTTTTTTCTTTTTTTTTTTTAAAAGAAAACTAATCTTATTCTGCTGTTCTTCTCACTGGAAGGAATCAACAGCGAACATTTAAAATGTAATCATCTGTGATGACATGCGCTGCATAATTTTAAAACAATCAGTTAAAATTAACTTAACTTTCAAATTGATGTATTTCGTTTTTGAGGCTGTTTAGTTGTGTTGTGATCACAGTGCAAGACCCTGAAATGATTTGAATCCTGTGTCAAATGCAGTGTTGTCCTGCTATGAAAATGCAGTTTTTCAAAGAAATCTGCACAATGCATCAAGTCCTGTTACTCAGTCTACTATGGAAGATTTAAAATGCCTCAGTAAAAACAAAATCAACAAAGAAATAATGTGAAAAACAATACACATTGCTATATGTATTTCCTTGTATGAATGCATTTGTTATTATTTATGCATTTTAAATATCCCACAGTCTGCTGGGGAGGACTTTAACAAATAAAAGTTTATCGTTATTATTTTCAATGTAATAATATACTAGTAATGCCTATAAGAGCGTAGCAGAGCAGGTTGGTGGTTGGAGGTAGGGTTGGGAGGTATCTCAGGGTTGGCGTTTACACGACTTTTGGTCTTTTTTTTTTTTTCCACTTATTACATTCCAATAAAATCTGCTTGCATATTAACACACCTGTTCTATTTATGACTCTGACAACTCTGGTATCCACCACCCTCTTCAGTCATCCTCCAGCGTTTCCGTCTTGATGTCATTCCCCATACTGCACGCTGCCCCGTCCACCTGATTGGCTAGGGCTTGGCTGCTGTGATTGACAGCCTCCTTCTCCAACCCGATTGGGTCCTGGGGCTCGGACAGCACGCTGTGAATGGTGGGTTCGTCCTGGAGGGAAGGGGAGGGCGGAGACCAGGACACGCCTGTCAATCTGGAACCTTCTGCCTGAGGACCCGTCCCCGTCACTAGGGAGCGGCCAATCAGAGAAGTGCCCCTCTGTCCAGACAGGCCTCCTCTACCCAGGGCGGAAAACCAGCTGGGGAGCAATGTGGGAACCTGAGCAAGGAGAAAAGATGAGTGGGGAATGATTAACAAATTTGTGGCTCAAACTGTAAATCTGGCCTCATCTCTTAATCTGAGACCAAAGCTCTTTGATAAATGCAGTTGCAGCATGGAGACAGTGTGTGTGGTCGGGCTTTACCTGGGTTGGAGAGGAGAGGTCAGCTCGACTGAAACCAAACTGCCTGGCTGAAGCTCTCTTGTCAAATAAGGACACCTCACAACCCTGTAACAGAGCAGCATACAGGTTATACAATAACCATGTCACAATGCTATGGCTGACCTTTGACTTTACAACCAGTTATTTATGTTAGAGAAATGGAAATGTATGCTTATTTTACTGCTGAAAGTCTCTCTCCCAGAGCGGTCAAATATGTAACTATAATTAAATCAGGTTACACGCACGCACGCACAGCACTGTTCAAATGCACAATATGTAATTTTCTGCTGCTAGGGTTCTCTCAATCACAACAATAACAAAAGACGGAGTCTGTTGACATGAAGTAGCATCAATCATTCTGGAGGTTTTTTTTGTTTTTTTAATCAGGAGCCGAATTAGCTGCAGAGGTGTCCTCTTCTCCAAAACAAATAGACCAGGTGATCTGATGGACACAGGACATGTCAGAGGTGCTGCGAGCTGGTAACATTTGCTTGGCTTGCTTCTTGGATAATTTAAGATCCACACATCCGACATCTGGTTTAAATATAATGTGAAAAACAACCAAGATCTAAAAAGTGGCTTAAAAATTTGGCTTAAAACAGGTTTAAAAGTCAATTTTGATCACTTGTGGCAGACGAGCTCAACGCGGACACATGTGCAAATGGAAAATGACATCATTGACAGTTGAACAAATGAAACGGACCTTTACCATGATTACAATCACAGACTTCTCTTGGTTTGAAAATTGCTGGAAACATTTGGGATAATGTAAGCAGACAACTCAAAAAATATATACAGGTCTAGTCATTTCTAGACATTTTAAAGTAGAAAAGTTAAATATTATAACTTTAACGTTACTGACTCTATAAAGGAGGGGGATAAAGGTACATCTCCTTTACCTGGTCGGGGAAGTCGTTGCCATCCACCTCGTCACTGTTGGACTGACCTCCTGGACTCTGAACCTCGATGCCGTGACTCTCCAAGATGGCTGCTTCTTCAAAAACACAAACCTGATCATAGCATATCGACCTCAATCAACAACACACTCAGACGCAAGCAAACAGTGAGGAATTCAGAAGCCCCTCTTCTAGAGCAGAACGACAAGCTGCTAATGTTGTTGGTAAAAATCATACAACTGCAAAAGGAAGAATGTCCGGGTGTCAAAATGAGAATATGTTGTCCTCACCGATGCCCAGCTGTGTGTGAAATTCTACAGAGGTGTTTGTGATAAGAAGGATGGCAGCTAAGTGTTGAGTGTGAGGAACAAAGAAACACTAGAGTAAAAGCTCTTTTATGTCTTTATTGATTTGTTTAGAGACGATCCCAGAACCCAGCACAGCAAAAGATATAATATATCTGCTTCACGTTGATTTCTTTAATCACACTAAGACATACTGTTTAACACACACACACACACACACACAGAAAGAAGTAGACATTACCAATGTTAGCACGCCTCTTGATGTCTTTGCGGCGGTTGGCAAACCAGTTGTAGACCTTCAGAGATGTGACCCTCTCCAAATCAGACAGCTTCTTTCCTGTGACACACACACACACACACACACACACACACACACACACACACACACACACGCACACACGCACACACGCACACATCAGACATCTGCAGTAGATAACACCTACAGGGCTGCTGCTCTCCTTCAGTCTCTCCCTGTGGTTATTTTTGAAATTTACAAGATAAACTGTGTCTGGAAATACTACGGCCTTATCAAATAATAATAATAATAATAATTAGATTACATTCAGAATATGATTTATGGGGATTATAATTGTCTTAAAAAGTTTTATCCTTCTTTTTTGACCAGGTCTCTCTTGTAAAAGCGGCAGTATATCTCGAGAGACTTGCTTTTTTAAATACATTTAAAAAAAGAAAAAAGAGAGTAGTTAACATCAAATGAAACTGAATCAATTCTCCAAATGTGTATAACCAGACACACTCACAGTCACCATGTTAATCAAACGTAGTTTAAAGTAAATGACAAGTTTCTGTCCTGATCTCTAATAGCTTTAACCTACCTGGTTTCTGAATGACAGCATTGCAGGCAGTGGCAATCTCCTCTCTCTTCGCTTCATCAGGGTACTGGTTATCACTGAAGTAGCTGTGTAGACAGAGGCGCGCGCGCACACACACACACACACACACACACACACACACACACACACACACACACACACACACACACACACACACACACACACACACACAAACACACACACACAAACACAAACACACACACACACAAACACACACACACACACACACCTCTTTCCATGTTATAATTTCAAAGCCAGTTAAACATTATACTGTTACACTTCAGTGAATCTACCCGTCCTCAACCCTCCTCTTCCTCCTCACCTCTCCATAACAGCCAGACATTCCTTCCTCCAGGTGAATCTGCTCCCTCGCCGCAGACGGAAGCCCCCAGGGGCAGCGCCAAAGGTGGGCGGAGCTTGTTGCCAGTCCATCATGTCCTCCAGAGCCAGTGGGGCAGCTCGCATGGCCAGAGTGGCACCTGAAGTCACAGACGTCTTACTGCATTAATAATAAATTTTATATTCATTTCAGTATTTCTTACAGAGTGATGCTTTAGACAGTTTCCCGGCTAATTCATACAAAGTTTATAAACCTATATCTATTCAGTTCCTCCACCTAACAGTATATCTAAATTATAATAATAAAAAGAAATCCTTGTATCTGGTCCATTTACTATGTACCTTTAGTGTATGTGCACTTCATCATCATATTATGAAGACAAGAGTGACCCCTTTTATTTTAGAGCCTCAAGCCAAAGATCCAAATTCAACTCAAGAGATTCTTATTAAAGCATCATGCCAGTCTTGTTTTTTTCCAAGTGAAGACACAGGATTGACTTGAACTAGACTACTCATTTTTTTCATACTGTACATTCCACTAAGTTGGGCTCAACTTGACACAGTGTAGTCATTGTTCAATCACAGGAAACAGTTTACAGCCTATTCGGTCTTTCTGTAACGAGGAATATCTCAAGATGCTCATAAAAACACAAACATACGCCAAAACTTTCTTCTCTTTAAAAAGACTCTTTAATAAAACTTATGTTACATCTGCAACTTTCCAAATATCAGAAACGTATCCCTCTGCTGCTAAATTACAGCTAAAAAAAATAATTCATCCCCTTTTAGTTCATATTGCAGTGACGGCTTTGAATACCAATGAGCCGAGGTACAAAATTACTTTTCTGCGCTGATGAATTAGAGCTATCAGAACAGGGTGTCCAGGGTCATACTGAAGGACACTCTGACAGTATGAACAGGACATACATCGTCCATTATAAAGCACACTTTAACAGATTACTTATCTATTTGTCTCATTATGTTATAGTAGCGATGGTGCTCTTTTAGTGGATGTCTAAACGCTCTGATTTTTGCTCAGTCAACGTGAAGAAAGTTTTACTGAAGTCAGCAGTGGCTGTCACCCATTCAGTGCAGCTGACTGGCAGGAGATAGTCTATGATGGCGTTACCTGGGTTGGACTTTTCCAGCTGATACCAGCGGAAGAAGGCTCGTTTCTTCTGCTCGCTGAGGTCCGATCCCTGTTGCAGGAGCCAGTGGGAGATCCGACTCTGACTGATCCCTGGGAGGAAGAGGAACGGAGTGAGATCTGAATCTTCAGGCAGCTGGATGCTCGGTGACATGCCAACTATTTCTGGTAGTGATTTAGTGGGCCTGGTTAAAGTACAGATGAAGCTGATACTCACCCGTTACCTGAGCGACCACAGCCTGGGAAATACGCCTGTTCGCCAGAAAGGACTTAATCTCCTCTTTGATCAAAGCACTGTCCCTTCTACAAGGAGAGAGAATACACTGTTTACATGAAGTATAACAAATGTCTAAATGTCCAACAGTCAGACATTGCTAACACACATTGTACAAGACAACAGTGACTTTACTCAAACCAGCTGCAACTCCACAATTCACATATACAGTATATGAATGACAGTGGCTGTTGCAGTTGAATATGTGACGGAATTGGAGGCTCGATTCTGCTGTAATATTCTCTGCTCTTATGGTTTGATTTCATCTTCACATGCCCTCAGATCAATACCAGTCTGATTGCTGTGATCTGGCTGCAGACTACAGATGAGAGGCATTAGAGGGTGAGGTTGTGTGTGTGTGTGTGTGTGTGTGTGTGTGTGTACAATACGATGGATTGTGTAGGCAATAATCCTTGTATCATATTCAGCTTCAGTGTGAGCTATAAGCAGGCTCGTCAACCATCAGGCCTTTAGTATTAACACCTGCTCTCTGGCATAGTGGTCTATATATTGCTATGGTGTTCAAAAACCACGGACACCATTGTCATAGCAAACCCTGGCCATAATTAGAACATTCGTTATGAGTACTAATTATTGTCATGGTTATGGCAAACCAAAGAAAGTTGGTTGGTACTAATGTCTGTGCCCTGAGTTCTGCTTCTATTTTCTACCATCAGCAACAGGGTTAGGTTTCTTGGCAGGCTAATGTATGTAGCATCGAGTTTGCCAACTAGTGCAAATAAGTTTATGTTTGTGGTCTTTTTGTTGCCCTTTCCTCTTTGGTAACAACAACTGACTTGTTACTAGTAACTAAGAGGTTATCTAAAACTGATAGTACTGGCTGAAGCTTTTGTCAGGTATTGTGTCTGTGTTGTGTACTGTTATAAGCACCAGAGTAACCATCCGTTGTTATTTTACAGACAAGAGAGATTTCTGTCATAAAACACAGCTTTGCTTGATTTTATTGGACAGAAGGAATGCTAGTCTATCCTTGGTTTAGCCTCATTTGGGGCTGACTCTCAACTGTGTGGGATTAAACGCCAGGTGAAAAGCTCAGGGAGGCCAATGTGCGCTGCTTCACCGGAAGCCAGGCGTACATTTTAAAAACCACTCAGTTAGTCCTCATCTTTGAAGTCTTCCCTCTTGTAAAACAAACACATTATATTAGAAAAAAGTATGACTCTCATCTTTGGTGGCTAGTGGCTTTTGATGTGAAATAGACTCATTGTTACCCCTTGTGGCCAATGTGCAAAAGAAAAAAACTCAACAACAACAACTGCAGCTCTCACCAACCACAGTTGCAGTGGGTGATTTTTGCCCTCCATCCCCAGGGGGCAATAATGAGCACATTATGACTTTGCATACCAAGTAAAAAGTGTTTTCAAACAGTGTTTTTCTAAGCTTTTCTATGGGAAACATCTGAAACTGTCTTCTATGTACTGGATGAAAGACGTGCTCCGATCTGGTACGACCCTGTTTATCCTGGTCTACTCAATCCTAGCTTAGCCATGTCTAAGTTAGGACAAGTCTGGTCTGGAACTTACCTCATCAAGTCCTCCACCTTCTCATCCACATCTATGTCCTCTTCACTGGCCTCAAACCCATAGCCTGGTGCTGTCACACTGCCGCTGACCACACCAAGAGGAAAGCGGGGCGGTGACAGCTTCCCATTGCTGACAGCAACTAGACCATTCTGAGCTACCGCTGCCATGACGACAGGTGAGGCTACTGGAACTGGTAGAGGCAGGGAAGTGGTGTCGAAGTTGTTATTAGGTGACAGTGAGAGTTGGTTGTCCGGGAAACTTGTCTGAGTGGCAGTGGAAGTCATGGAGGAAGAGGCGGTGACAGTGTTGGAAGAAGACAAGGATGATGATGGAGGTATGTAGGAAGGTTTATGGGTCAACTTGTGTCCATGTTGTCGGTCCAGGTGGTCCAGGGTGTCCAGGGCATGGAGGACCTCCGCCTGGGTGATCCCTGTCCTCCTTAGCCTCTGGAGGAGGTCAATCTGCTCAATGGTGAAACGAGGCTCGTCACACTGCTGGAACATCCTGGAGGATATCACAACAACACTATCACCAAAAAACAGACGTTTATACAAGTGCTGTAATTTAGTACAATTGTTAAGGTTTTAAGAACTGGTACTAGAGTAACACTTTGCTGTTAGACCCCCATATTTTGGAGGAAAATGTTTTAGACAGAAAAAGAAAAAGACTGCGAGCAAGTTTGTTAATTTGCAATGGGGCCCCTTTAAGTTTTAATCCAGAAAATAAGATTTCAGGCCTGGTTAATGTGGCAACACTGGTGGTTACTGGTGAAAATGACAAGTGCATTTTAGTAAAACAGGTACCAAAGTTCTGATGGAAGTAATACTAATCGACCACTGGGGACAGGAAATAGCTAGTGGGGTTCATCGCGTCGCATTGATTTAAAAAAAGTCGTCCAGCATAGTGATACTAAACTCATGATTAAATGTAAAAAAACTTCTGCATTGTTTGAGATACCAGCTTTCATTTACCACATCATGTCCAGTATGTGCATTATTTCCTGTGAATTCCTTATGCGTGAGTGCACAATTTGAACCAGTAACAATGAAAACTACAATACATGGCAGAGCAATTAGAGGCTACAAATACATTGAATGGTTAAAACAGAGAAAATGCTGGCCATACACAAACAGTATCAAATACCGGTCTAATATAACAAAAATGTTAAGGATTATACCTTTAAGGAAATTAAATTTGCAACTTTTGATGAGTGACCTTGTCACCAAGGAGAGAGTCACAGAGCAAAATAGAAGTACAGTCACGTCGGTTAGCTTCCTGCAGATTTACACACACACACACACACACACACACACACACACACACACAGACATCAGAGCTCAGCAGCTGCTACCCAGATCTGAAGTGCCTTCCTCCAGATTAAATCAGACTTACTACAGTGGATATGTTTTCAACCCCAATAATCACTTTCACAAATAATGTTATGGACCCAGTTAGTTTTGTATTATTTGTTTTGTAGTATTTTAACTGTTAAAGCATATCTATAGTTGTGTTTTGAAATGCTATGTATCCTTAAATGCAAGTCATTTCTAAAAAAAAAAAACTGTCATAATAGTGGTCGCTGAACTGAAGTGAGAAAGGAGGAGAGCGAAAGAGGAAGATAAACAGACAAATGAGATAGCACATCTGTTTTGATGGTTTTCTTTCTGACGCCAAGAAGAAAAACAGGCCACAGCAGAGAATCAAAGTCAGCAGACATGTCAACACTTATATAGAGAGGGAGGGTGAGGTCGAGTGTGTGTCAGTGCGTGTGCGTATGTGCGCACGTCTTAGGAAAAATGCCAAGAAAAATTTACATCTCAGGCAGCCAAGCTCCATACTTTCTCTCTCTGCTGCAGAGGGTGAGTCATGCTGTAGTTGGTTAGACTGATACACAGGATCGATACAGCACAGCAAAATTATGGCATTATGGCACTGATCAAAATTCTTTCTTTCTTTCTTATTTTGTTGCTCATTAACAATTAAATACATTACATTTTCACATGTTTTAACCAGGTATTTCTGAAGTCTTGTTTGCAGTCCCTCTCCTTTACACTTAAATCACATAATGATCACTTTCAGCACAGCTGCAACACAAAACATTATATCATGACTGCATCTGTATTTGTTCCTTGAAAACCTGCTTTCAAAGTTTAAGTAGAGGAAACTATATAAGATCATTAAATATAAGTGTGCATATGTATGTGTATATTTTCTACATAAAAACTGGTGCTTTCCCACATCGTACTTGTGGCGGTAGCTGACGGGAGTGTAATTATTTAGTTATTAAATAATACCATATTTAAGGTGCTTCACTGCAAATATTCTAATTGTATTTTGTGAAAAATAAATAACTGAACACTATATGCAGCTGCTTCCACTGCTTCACAATGTATCAAACAAATAACAACCATCACCGAGTCGAGTCAGTGAGGGTTGAGAAAGACAGAGGGCCGGTAAAGAGACAGAACAGGAAAAGGGTAAAAACTTAATGGATTTTTTGACGGGCCACCGATGCAGCAAGATTTTCTCCTGGTTCTATTTCTACTCTTAGGGAGAGAGAGAGAGAGAGAGAGAGAGATAGATAGATAGGCCTGGAGCCAATCCCAGCTGACATTGGGCGAGGGCAGCGTACACTCTGGACAGGTCGCCAGTGAATCACAGGGCTGACATATAGAGACAACAACCATTCATGCTCACATTCACAGCTGCGGGCAGATTAGAGTCACCAATTAACCTGCATGTCGTGGATTGTGAGGAGAAGCCAGAGTACCTGGAGGAAACCCACGCAGACACGGGGAGAACATGCAAGGCCCCAAATCCAGAACCTCCTTGCTGTGAGGCGACAGTGCTAACCACTACACCACCATGCCGCCCAGTTAATTTTTTTTGCCCTATTTAAACTAAGATCAAAACAAGTGCTGAAAATCTCCTTTGAACTAGTTTTTAATAAATGACTTAAGAAAGTTCTTGTGGAACTCAGCCCCTGGCTTTCATAAGTGAGATATTATTTAATCTAAATCTAATAAGAAAAATAATAATAAGGTTCAATTCCAGCCTTTAGAGCTGATAGAAATTTGGAATACATAACCTGACTCTTCACAGTAGACTGTAAAAGACAAACAGCTGTAAACTGGTCACCATCTTTAAGCAGTCCACCAGGTCCAGTCCACCTACACTAGTTGACAAAACTTGAGCCAGGAAAAAAGTTTGACTTAAAGAGTGAAACTTCAATAAGTCCAGTCAATGTCACTAGACAGGTGGGGTTAACACACACTAACTTGCAAATTAACTCTAACTTTTTTCCTGCTTGCAGCAACAAGGGCAGGGTGGGAAAAATTCAGTACAACCAGCCACAAGGCAATAACAATGATAGCTGGCCTTATTTATCTGCAAGATTAGTCTCTATAAGCCACACTGGCAGGAAACCAATCTTCCTTTCAAAGGTGTGACTAATGTAAGAAGACACGGTGGCCTTTGGATGCACAATGACACCATGTGACTAAGACACAAGCAGAACTTTTTCCTTCCTGTCCTAAAAAAAGAATCAGACAAACTATTTATCACTTCCTAATATACAAGAGTGCATACCACTAAAAATGAATTTCTCCTTAACAACAACAACAACAACAACAACAACAAACCATATCAAGGCAGGAGACCAACTTTTACATACTGTATTGGCCACAGTGGCTGCCAGATCAGTTCAAGTTTAAGCTTTTCATTTATTCTTTCATTATTTCAATATCTGGAATTAGGACCCAGCCACTTAGGTTGGTGATCACTAAAGTTTCTCGCCATGGCTATAATACATTAACAATGACTTTCTAGGAGCCGCACTCACTTTGGTGATACAATAACACTGGTAAAGTAAGGATGAGGTTCTGGTCATTGTTTACAGTAGCTCAAATTTTCTCTTGTAGTCATTACGATAACAAAAAGGCGGGACGGCATCAAGCAAAATTGACAGAAATAGTTTGAAACTATTTTAAAAACAATATATTACATAGTCTAGTTTTAATGGATGTCAGCAGCTTTGGAAGTGGTAAATGACATTAGCTGAAGACACTTTGTTAGAATCTCGGATTTAGTGGACTGACGGCAAACCAAGAGTATGTGTAATTATGTGAGGCTGGTACAGAGTATGTGTGCAGGTTGGGACAGAGGGACTAGTAATCAAATGGTGCTGACTGGCACTGCTGAACTCCTTCAGAGATCTCTGCTAAGCTGCCACAGCATAGGGCACACATGAAAATACACACGCACAAATGCTGAAGTTACAAAAGTTTGACTCAAAAAGAAATGTATCGCTCTGACTCAGACAATCCTGAAGTGTCCTTGTGCAAGACACTGAAGCCCTACCAGCCCCAGAGATGCTGCTCTGGAGCTGAACTTGACCTCTGACCTCCCTGTGGAGCACAGAGCTTCATAAAAGACTCCCCTGAGGATTACATTGTAATATATCAAGAAAATCTGCAACCAGATTGAGGCTTTGTATCACCAACCTGTTTACTCCTCAGACCAACATAATATCATGTTGGCTGTCCTTGAGGACTTCAGTCTGAGAAAAGTGTAACAGAGATAAACAGCATTACTACTAATGAACCCAGTGACCTGCCTAAGATCCTAACCAGACGTGGCATGAACTGTGTCCTGAATGCAGGCGTGCCAGCTGAGCACATAGACAAAAGTCATTTAAACACAGTAGGCAACTTTTTAAGTGGCCTTGGAGCCCGAAATTCAACTAAACAGCACATCTGGCTCATGTGGCCGGACACTGCACTGGGATAGTCCCCAGTGCAGATGATTCTCATGCAAATATCGACTTTCACGTCGAATGACGTTGAAAAAAAATGGATTTTAATGATGCCCTTCTTCCAGGAAAATATGCATTGCCCGATAGATGGTGTCTTAAGACGTTATACTGGTAATGAAGAACAACTCCTCAATTCGGCATATATCTTACAAACTAAACAATTTCCATTCACAACAGAACGGTTCATTTTATTATTGGTTCGTCTGTTCACCGTAATTATCACACAGGACAAAAATACACACTGGATCGCGGGCAGCGTGCATTGTGGACCAACTGGAAAAGTTGACATTGTGTTTGATTAAAAGATTTTTGGTCACCTACGTGCATGCCGAATTACAGACTTACTTTTCTATGACTCAGACAACACCGTTACAATCAGTTTAGGTGGTGTGAACATTAACCGCCAAGTAAAATGCCGCAGCACTGGCGAAATTTTTAAGGAGTTTTCAGTTATCAGCACACAGAGAAAAGGAAATGTGTCGGGCTAGCAGATCCGTTTGAAGACAGCAGCAGTTGGAGCTGCAGGGCTGAAGTTACCTTAATATTCCAGTCTAAGAGCCTCCGCAGACGTTTATTCCACCATATATGTTTTGCCTTGGGGCGCTGGGACACACGGACACTGACAGTTTTCCCAAAATGTCTCCTCTGTTTCTAATTGGGTTTCAACCCACCGTCAGACAGATTCGCCTTTTGTCCGGCAGACAGGCGCCATGTTGACACAATGACGCAAGGGACGACGGGAGTCGCAGTTTACAGAAGTTAGTGTACAAACAGAGGTGCCACTTTATTTGGATCATCAGGCTTCTGTTGAGGGATATCAATACAAAGCTCCTGCAGTATTAAGCTACCGAGCTACTGAACCCAAAGGTTGTTGACGGCGTTGATTCAACTTTATGGACAGTTTGGAGGTTGTACTGTAAGTGGTTGCAATATTTTGTTTTGTTTATGTCTCTAATATGCAGAATCAGAACCAACTTTCCAACTATTTTGTTCCTACTTTTTCCATAATCACAAAAATAATTCCCCTTCCTTATTTTATGTGTTAAATTTGTGTCACAAATATTTAGTTGACTCTCACAAACACACTCAAAAAAACCCTAACACCAAACAGTACTTAAAATCTCTCCTAGGTCTCCCAGACCTGCCAAACACTAAACCGGACAGAGGTGCATGCTGTTGATCCTGTGACATTTGAGCCACCTGGTCAAATTTTTTCTTGTGCTTTACTGACATAAAACGACTTCAGCAGGTGGAGTGTATTTCATCAGGGCAATCAGTGGTGTGCACAGAATCAAATGGGCAGAGGTTAAACCTACTTTACCTAAGCATAGCCTGCCTGTACACAGGCGGTGGTTAAGTTATTGATCCTGTTTGACCTAATGTTACAACAGTTCGGGACTAACTGGAGCTAAGCCTGAGCTAACAACAGCATTTGAGCAGACATGGGTCATTTGAGGGTGTTTGGGCTGACCACTGGGTCACTGTTGAAGAGCTGCTTCAGTGTGACTTCAGGGCAAAAATGACTCATTATGCCACAGTTATATTTCATCCTGGTAAACTACTGGTTTCAAAAGGAGTAACTTAAGCACTCAGAACAAAAAGTGTAGGGGCAGTTATCCTACAGCTGATCGCTGGGTTTTTACTTTTACCTGCTGATATGTCAGGAACAGAAGCAAAAGAAACCATGGTCCTAATGGATCATGGTGCTCATGGAGCCCAGCTGGTCTGCATTCTAGCTGCCTGTGAATAATTTGATTTAATGTGAGAACCACTGCTGTATGCAGGATAAAGTATGGTTAAAAAAAACTATAATGTAATATGTCCATGATAAAACTTGCTCTTTCCAAGTCCTGTCCACCTTTTATAAAGATATTATTAAAATCAGTTTTTATCCATGATGAAAACTAACTTTAAGATGATCAACAAATAAGCACAAGTCATCATCATAACTTCTTTAAGGTCATTTTGATTTGAAAGAGGTAGTCTGTGCTGTGCTGGCACTATAACTCCTGCGGGATCTCAGGTAAGATGCTGAATCAGCTTCATTAAACAAAAATATGATCCCACCTGACCTCAGGATGCATTTAAAGAAGTATTTGTTCTCTCGTGATAATTTATGTTGTTTAACTATTTTGTGATGCTTTGTTGGTCACACCTTATGCAACAAAAATGAAGATTAACCTTATACTATGTATAACCCAAACTAATGAGGTACAGTTTGTCCTTTCACATTTAAATCCTGTTACAACATTTACAAAACAGATAAGAACACAAGTGAACAATGCAAATGTTATTTTATTCATTGGTACAAAACATGTGAGTCTACGGCACAGTAAAAAATATAAAAATAAATGTTACTGACAACTAACATCCAGACACAGTTCTGACAGTTACAAACACAGCAGGTTTAAGTAAGAGGTGTGTGTGTGTGTGTGTGTGTGTGTGTGTGTGTGTGTGTTCAGGAGGGAACCCAGATGTTGCCGTGGGTGTCGGGAGCCTGGCTGTAAGGAATGTTCCAGATCCAAGGCTGATCTGAAATCAGAGAGAGAAAAGAGGTCAGTAAAATCAGAACGATGCTTAAAGGCCGATTACAAGTGACATCATAGCTGTATTTGTGCAATTTCTTCACTCACTGTCTAAGTGGAGGGGCATGTCTCACACAGAGCTTAATACCTAACCGGTTCCTCTGACATCCCATTAATTATCGGTGTTTATTGATTTTAAATTATTCCCATCCACACACATTGATTTTCTAAAAGAAATTGAACTGAATTGCTGTGCTTCAGAAATGCTTTGATTTCAACCAATCATAAGTTAGGAATAATATTTTACTATTATTCTACTAATGTTTTACTAAAATAAGTGACACTCAAACCTACTGTGTTTCTTTATTGGAGTCAGAAACAAAGGTTACCCACAATGCATTTCACAATGAGCATGACAGACAGGAAATGACCATGAGATTTTCAATGACATGAATCATCTTGAGGTCTTTCAGTTGCCCCGACTCCCAAGAAACTGTTTCAGCAAACATAGACACATAACATAGAGGGGTGGTCTCTGTCAGCTTAGATGACAGGTTTGTGTTTCAGATGAATTTCAGCCTGTGTTGTGTGGAATAAGCCTCTTTACTGTGTCTTTAGATGCTGTAGATTAAAGCAAAGCTATGTTTTGAGTCTACACTCGGTTGCTTTATGTTGTTGCCACTAGAGGACACTGTAACTGCAATTTACACACACACAATGTTTAGCGTTGAAGTTGAAGTAAAATTGAAGTTGAAATTTAAAAGATGGAAAAATATTTTTCTACTTTATCATTACCGAGGCACATTAGCACAAACAGCATTATTACAGATCAAGTGTTATTTTAACCTGTAGATAAATATATAGAGTAGATTTCATAAATAAAAACACACATATTCCTGTACCTTTAGGCGAGTAGCATGTAGGGGGCAGGTCAAAGGGCACAGGGAAACCAGAGGAGGATGAGGAGACAGGGAATGGATTTTTGTGAACAGGGAAGGTCTTCATGTCCTGTAAGGAGAAAATCATCACACTAAATAAACATAATAATACACTTCTTTATCATTTAGAAAGCAGTAAGAACAACTTTTGTCATCCAGCACACAATACTTTTTTTCTGCACCGTCATTCATATGTTTTAACGATCGTTTAGCCGTCATGGCATGTTATCTCCAGCTGTCAGACATGTTAGCATGGAGCTACTGTTTGTGCATGTGTGTTGCTCTTACAAAGGCAGAAGGCACGTAGAGGACTCCCAGCTCGTATGAACGGACCATCACCTGAGTGTTGTTCTTCTCCAGGGCGCCCCACGCTGCTTTGGACAGGTTGGCACTGAAACAAACACATTGAGGGCTTAATGTTTCAGTACATCTTTGTGATAAAGATAATCTGTATTAGTGTGGGGTTTGAAGTTTTACTACAACACTGGTTTGTCTGTGAAATGAGAATAAATATATATATGAATTGCATAAACAAATAAAGACATAAATAATTTCACATGATGAAAATGAACAAATATGAAGCTCGCACACTCACCTTGTGACAAGGAACCAGGCAAGCTGAGTGAAATCAGGTGACGTCCTCATGTATGTTTTGATGTGTGGCATGGCATGACTTCTTCCTGTTGTATTCGCCTTCCAGCGGCTACGTGCACGCACGCACGCACACACACGGATACATACACAATTGTTCAGTTCAACTTGAAAAATGTGCTTCTATGGATAGAGCTGCATAAACTAACCAGTAACCAGCTACAGTATTTGGTGTATTATCAATGAAAAAAAAATGACAGACATCATGAATAGTTAATCAGCTCTCAGTAGTGTTAAATAGACATGTCCACACTAATATTAGTTGCCATCCAAAATTTTCTTATCAACTAAATTAGCTGGTTCCTCAAGCCAAACACACTGCTCCTTCAAATCAATCTATCTAAATCTTCTCAAACATACAAATGTCTCTATTATCTTATCTTATCGCTCTTAATTATTCTGGAACCAGCGGGAAATAAACAAAACGCAACCGCAAATTTGAGGGCAACAAGATGAGAAAAAAGAACTGTAATAAAAGCAGCTGATGATGTAACTACCAGTGAACCCTTACAGTAGGACTGAATTCTGATGAGTAGTAGTGATGAACTTACTGAAAGTAGGAGTGGAGCCAGAGCTGCTTCTGAGCTGTTTGGATGCTGTAGGGAAGAGAGCCTCCCGCTGGGCAACAAAAGAGATGTATTTCATAACTAAATATACAACAGTCACCAAATAATAAAGACAGATCAATTGAGATAGTATAGTTATACTGTAAGATAGTATAATAAATTAGCAAGTTATTGTTTCAAATGTAAAAAACAGTACTCACCTGGATAGCCTTCTAAACTAGTCCTCACATCTTCTACTGATGGATAAACCTGCCAAATGTCAACCCATTAGCTTCTCTCTTCAGAAATTCAGTCTAACCTCAATTTCTGAAACTGGTTTATGGTTCTATATGTGTCTGCATTTGACCAGAAACCTAAGAGATTAGTCAGCAGTGCCAGTGGGAGTTCAATCTTTTATCAGGCATGTGACAAAAAAAAAAGGACAGGGCTCCGAGATCACACAGAACTGAAAAGCAGCTGTTTACTGAGTCATTTCAAATTGATTTTAGGTAACTGAAGGTCCTGCAGGGACTACAAGTGTAATTTCTGTATGTAACTCTATTATTATTTACCGGCTGAAAGAACCTAATACCCTAAAGTAGTAGCAATAGCAGTCAAAGAAAACTTCATTTGTGTTGCATTATTTTGCTCTGTCTCTCTCATAGCATTTGAATGCTGCATCACACAAGCAAAAAACAACATCAAGTTTGTGCTTGAGGAACATACCAAGTGCACGAGGGGGTCTGAACGAAGGGAGGATTTCCCTAGGGTGGTCAAGGTGCGCTGAAATTCCCCTGCCAACCATTTGGTCTTATCCAATCCCATGGAGCCGATGCTGGAGAACTGGCCAATCACAGGCCACCGTTCCTCACCGGGTATTGGTTCAGTGTGCTCATACAACAGCTAGAAAAATAAGATATAAGATATGAAAATAGTCACATTATATTACACTGAGAGCATTTAAGTATTTTTTTAATTCATCATGTAATCGGGATGATACTTTGGACTTATACCTGTTCCTAA